TTTTGTGAATATCTAAGTTATAATACAAAAATTCAATAACAATTCAGTTACCTACCGATAAATGCAAAACGAAGATATTTATAACTAAAATCTCATTTCAGGATTTGAAATATTCGAAATAATTCAATAGTTCACAATCCATAATAATGCTCAAGCTCATGAGCACTAAATAACATTTAGTCCGAAAAAAACTTTGTTTCGCCTCAAACTAGGAGAAATTAAAAAAATTGCATGTAATACGAACACAAAAAAAAACACCAGGTATATAAAAACACCATATTCAATACAGAAAACTGTAAAATAGTGTCGCCATCTACCGAGTAATTGGTTACTCCAAGAACTAGAAACTGCAGAAACAAAATAAGAAAATTCAGTCAAAACATTGGAAAAACTCACCGGTGCAAATGTAAATGGAATCCTGTTTGTGTTGAGAAATTCAACGATCAAAATTTGAAGAAAAAAACATGATACAACTTTGAATAATTAGATATTACATCTCTAAAGAGTATAATAAACGAAAAAAACTCTCAAAGTCTCCAAATATAAAATACAATCCAGTTCTTGTTGCTGAGTGTTTCGACCCCTAGGAAACATCATCAGACTTATATCACGAGGGGAAAAAACAATGCTGTAGGTATATTGAACAAAATAGTACACCAGATGAACACTTTGTTCAATATTCCCATAATTCTAACATATTAGCCTGATGATGATCTCCTGAGGGTCGAAACATGTAGCAGCAGGATTTGCATATAATTTCATATTTGTAGTGTGACTAAAGAAAATGATTCAACGCTTGAATTAAAGTTCAGTCAAAAATTCAAGAATCTTATCAAAAATTAATAATAATTTCAGGTACAAAATTCAAAAAAAATCAAGAAAAGAATCCTAGGATCATAAATTCTATCCCAATGACGTCATGACAAACTAATTTTGTTATCGAAAATAAAAAATTGCTCCACAGAAATTGAAAATATCTTTCAAGACACTTGTGGAGCAGTTTATACAGAGTGTTTCAGAGTTGTGGGCGATGACAAAGGCGCTCAACATGGGAAAAACTTCCGCACTAAACAAAGTTGAAAGCTATATTGATGCAATGTTGAAGCAATCACTGAAACATAAGTTCAGCAATATTGCAACGGTTAAGTTTGATAATGTAGCATTGCAGCAATATTACATGTTGCTGTGATATTGCTGGAATGTTCCATTTACAATTTTAGATTTGCAATATTGCTGAACGTCCGTTCCAGTAATTACTACAACCTTGCATCAACATAGCTTCCAAATTTGCTTAGTCGGTCATATTATGCATGTTTAAGCCTTTTGTCGCGACAAATTTCAAACACTCTGTATTCAACACTATTCCTTATATCTTCAAAATGTGCTATTTGTAGTTAAAATGTGATTTACTGTGTGGATATTTGGTTTTACTTCAACTATTACAAAACCTCTATTATACAATATTTTTATTCATATACAGGATGTCCCGGATCAGCGTAGAATATTTCACCAGTTATAAACATCATGGGTGGGTAAATTGAAATCTAAATTTTGCATGCTAATTTTGGGATACCTTGTATTTGAAAAGCCACAAGGTCTATTTCTATTTGTTATCAGATTTAAAACAATGAAAATAATGATTGAAAAACACTACAAACTGGTGTCGATTGTTTTCAACAACGATCAGCTTAATGTTCAAGAACTTTTTGTAAATAAAATGTGCAAAAAAAAACAAAATTAAAATAAATATGACCTTCTAGCAGTAAATAAGCTATACCAGTTCCAGATATTTTTGACCACTTTTCCCATGTGAATCTCCATAAGAGAAAGTTACGGTTCATTCTGCAATTTTTTGTCCCCGTCAAGGTCATCCGTCACCAAGGAGCGAGCTGACCGCAAGCTGCTGATAAGAATGGAAATAACACAACTACAATAACAAGATGAAATATGATATACAGGGTGGATCCGAAAAACCTCGTCGAATAAAAATATACAGGGCGTCTCATGAGTGAAATATCACATTCAGTAGATGTCAGAGACGTCATACGTTGAATGTAATCTACTAAATCTGACATGTTGATCATGAGACACCCAGTATATTTTTATTCGACGAGGTTTTAGCTCGCTCCTTGGTGACGGGGACCAAAAATTGCAGAATAAACCTTTCAACTTTCTCTTATGGAGATTTACATGAGAAAAGTGGTCAAAAATATCTGGAACTGGTATAGCTGATTTACTTCTAGCTAGCCTTGAAAAAACAACTGAATCAGTTCGTTGTATTTTTCAAATCATTAGGCGAGTTTGTTTTCATGTTATTCTTCAATATCAGCATTTTTTCAACATTTCAATTTGTGCTAGAATTGGATGTGCATTTTTAATTATTAGTATAAAAATGTGACAACATTTTGAAAATGGTGACTATATGTCACAATATGTGATTATTGCTTAATAATTACCTTAGTTAACAGTACCTTTGGAAATTATATAGTTTCTTCTAATGTTGTTCATCTTTAGAAAAAAATTGACCCTAATATACAGTATGTTACGACGAGCCTACACTATCTTTAAATTGAGAATAAGTCGCAAAAAATGTATGTAAATGTGCATGCTTATATTTGAGATAACGCTCTCTTCGTTTGAAATGTATTCGACAATGCAGTGTTGCCGCGTCTATCGAGAAGTAGCAACAACTTTGTTATTTCAAATGTAATACCCAGTATTTCATTGCGTTTTTATTTGCTCCCTGAAGAGCTGATTTCATCAATATCAATCAAGATTTTTCAACTTTAGGACTTTTTGTGTGATTTATTATCGGTCAAAACGGCTCACATGTACAGGGTGATTCACCATAAGTGTCCCCCCCCTCTAGCTCAGTTATTTTTGAACCGATTGCAAAATTTTAAATATCATCTAAAATTATTTTCGATAGAGTTTTTTTCCGCTACATCATAAAATACAAGGTGCTCGAAACAAAAACGATCTACAGGGTACTATTTGATTTTTTAAAATGAAATACTCTCTTTGTCATTGTGTTTTTAGATTCTCCCTGAAGTGCTGATTTCATCAATGCATCACACTTGGGGTCTAGCGAAAATGATTACAGAGATATAGGGTGTTCAAAATCGAGATTTTTCAACTTTAGGTTTTTTTTGTGACGAAACTATTCATTATCGGTCAAAACGACTTTCATGTCCGTATCTTAACTTCTGATTCACTATCTACTGACATTTGATAATTGGAACAGATACAGGGTGATCAGAATTCTGAATCTTGAACCACACTGTATATGTTCCAATTAAATGTCAGTAGATAGTGAATTAAAAGTTGAGATAGGGACATTGAAGCCGTTTTGACCAATAATGAATAGTTTCGACACAAAAAAATCCTCAAGTTGAAAAATCTCGATTTTGAACACCCTATATCTCTGTAATCATTCCCGCTAGAACCTAAGTGTGATGCATTGATGAAATCAGCTCTTCAGGGAGAATCTAAAAATACAATGAAATACAGGGTGTTCCATTCGAAAAAATCAAGTAGTACTCTGTAGATCGTTTGTTCCGAGCACCCTGTATTATCTGATGCAACAGGAAAAAAATTTCTGAAAAATCATTTTAGATGATTTTCGGTTCAAAGATAAGTGAGCTGGACGGGGGGGGGGACATTTATGGTGAATCACCCTGTACCTATCTTAACTTTTGATTAACTATCTACTGACATTTAATGGAAACAGAAGCTGGGTGATCAGAATTTGCAATGAAATAAAGGGTATTTCAGTTGAAATAAAAAAGTTGTTGCTACTTTTCGATTGAAGCGGCAACACTGCGTTGTCGAAGATAGCGTAATTTCAAATATAAGCAAGCACATTTTCATAAATATCATGTGACTGTAAGCTCGTCGCGACATGCCCTGTATTTTTCATCCACTATGAAAATAGATATTAGAAATTTTATAATCTAGATAATTGAAAAAAAATGTTTCTCATAATGGGATCACGAAAAAAGATGATTCAATCAATAATTATCAAAAACCAATAATTTTTCATACGAAATAAGAAGTCAATTGGATGTTTAGTGTAGCAATGTTCATATAGAAAAGAAATATTATGTTGTGCCGAACATAGACAAAAACTGCATATTTGAAAGGCACAACTAGGTTTAGTGTCAGATTTCATTAATCTTATGTATCCCAACGCTGAAAAAAAATTGTTTTCTTAAACGGACACAAGTTTGACATCTCAAAATTGTGAGGTTAGAAAACATGACAGTTGTATAATAATAAAATACCATAGGTCGCGTTCATGATGACCGACCCTGGAGGCAAAATATTGAAACACAACCTCATTCTTCTGTGAATTATTGAAACACAACCTCACTTTTTTATTTGGTTACAAAGGAATCAGAAGGTTGAAATAGTTTTTCACAATATTTTGGCATACGAATCGTGTTTCTTGCGTTATTCATTAATTCAAGCATGCCTTCGCATTCTGTTGTACAATGCACAAAAAATGCAGCAAGAGACGAAGGAATATGATTTTTCAGGTAAATAGTAATCTCACATAGTTATCATTATGAAATGTTGTCATTCCTTATTAAAATTCCTTCTGCCTTCTGCCACTTCTGCAATACAAGCTAATACTGCTAATAGATTGAAAATGTCTACAACACACACGATCGTCAGCATGTCAGACCAGTCCTCCCGATTGATTGCATGAATCCAATCTTCTTGCATTATTTTAGAAATTTCAGGTATATTTCTATTAGCTCCTATTGCAGAAGGAATTCCGATGAGAAATCAGAGAAATAACCAAATTTCAAAAATGAAAACTATATGTGTGACTATAGTAGGTACTTACTTTTAAATCATAATATGTACCATCTAGATTCCTTCACCTTCCGCTGCAGTTTTTGTGCATTTTACAACAGCACAATTATGATGGCATGAGCGAATTGATAAATAGCGGAAAAATACGATTCATATGCCAAAATAATTGTGGTTAAATTTCGAATTTTTTCTGGCGGATATACATGTCGCTTGGGTAGCAGGGGGAAAACACCAAATATCAAAAAAATATACTAGGTGCTTCGTATGCTATGAGCCTTCAACGAAATCACCAGAATTGTTAAAACACCCTATATCTCGATGATGAAACATGTAAGACCCAACATATATGGTATATTCAGAACCACCTTAGTCACCTCTATCCACCGTGAAAGTATTTCCGTTTCCCAACAGAACACCCTGTAGATCAGAATTCACCTGAAAAATATTTATTCCTTCGTCTCTCCCTGCATTTTTTGTGCATTGTACAACAAACAGCACAATGTGATGGCATGTTTTCAACAAATAAAAAAGTGAGGTTAATGAGATTGTTTTGCCTCCAGGGTCGGTCATCTAACATTTTGTCCACGCGACCCATTATGTAGGGTCTCCAAACTTCACAACATTTGACATTGTCAAACCATTTAAAAAAAAAAAACATCTTGAAAGTAAATAGCACAAATTAGCCACCAACATCTCAAACAACATCACTTGGAATTGTTTATCGCTTTATTACAATGAAAGCACCCGTGAAACGTGCCATTTTTGAGTAATATCACTTAGACTTATCTCTCACTACAGAAATCTGTAAAATACCATCGCCATCTAATGACGAAACACTCATTTTGCTATCACAAGCCGAAAGTTTCGACTCCCGAAACGAAACACCAGAAGAAAATAGTGGTAAGTGACTAGTGTGAGAAAAAACAGGCACTTGTGAAGTGAAGATGAACAGTGTGAAAGCTAGAAAGGCACTTTGGCAGTCTTAAGAACACACGATTTTTACTAGCACAGCTGTCAAATGATATGGACGAGAAAATTCCACCTGAAAACACAAATAGATACTGCGGATGTGTCGTTTTGACATTCAAGTCATCTCTTGTCACTCTAGCACATTTTTTATAACGTTTTCCACTCGCCGAACAACTAAGAACGGCTGTCATATCTATCATTCTTCCAACTTTGATAGTTAATATCTTTCGTTGGCGAAAAGCAATCATGTTGCGGTTTCCGTTGATCTGTTGAGATTTTGTTTCTCTATTACAGCGTGCAATGATATGCATACCGTTAGATTTATTCTATCTCAAACTTGTATCATTATTCGTTGCTGAGATATGGCCAACAGCCGTTCTTAGTTGTTCACCCTGTACAAGTGGCACTGGCTTCCATAAGGTGCGGTTCCAGCACAGAGCAGTTTAATAGAAATAGAGAGTTGGTGCGACCTTCTTGTCATCGGAAATGTCAAAATAATTGTTATGTCAATCAAAAAGTTGAATTATTGAAAGTACATTTGGTTCCGTTGGTCCACATGAAATGGATTCTTGGATTCATCTACCTGTTATTGTGGTTTCCCTGTGAAAACTGCCAGAAACCAGCCAGAAACAGTCTTATACAGGGTGAGTCATTGAAATGAGAAAGTGAGATAACGGCTTCGCTGTTTGAGATAGATGAATACAAACTTTTCTGATGGTCTAGGATCATATAAGCAGCATATCTCTAAATTTCTTTGCGTATACAGGGTGACTCAAATATGCGTGGCGTATCAAAGTTATACTTTTTAATATAGAACACTCTGTATTTTATTGCATTTTCGGATTCTCCTTTGTGAGCTAATTCCACCAATGTATCACACGCGGGATCTATCAGGAAAGATTACAGAGATATAGAGTGCTCAAAATCGCGATTTTTCAACTTTAGAATTATTTTGTGTCGAAACTATTAATTATTGGTCAGAACGGCTCACATCCCCATCTCAACTTTTGATTCACTATCTACTGATCAGTAGATAGTAAATCAAAACTTAAGATAGGGAGATGTTCGCCGTTTTGACCAATAATGAATAGTTTCGACCCAAAAAAATCCTAAAGTTGAAAAATCTCGATTTTGAACACCCTATATCTCTGTAATCATTCAAGCTAGACCCCAAGTGTGACGCATTGATGAAATCAGCTCACAAGGGAGAATCCGAAAATGCAATGAAATACAGGGTGTCCCATAGGAAAAAGTATAACTTTGATACGCCACGCATTTTTGAGTCACCCTGTACAACGCGAAATATTTTGGAAATGTGCTGCTCATGAGCCTAGACCATCCCAAAATGTTTTGTTCGTCTATCTCAAACAGCGAAGCCGTTATCTCACTTTCCCATTTCAATGCCTCACCCTGTATATGAATGTTCAATTGAATCATTCGACAATAGTGATGTAGCATTGAAGTGTCGTTCACGAAGTTAGTATTTTTCATCATTACTGAATCAACAGTCTAATATGTTCAATACCTGCACATCTGAATAGGTTTCTTTAGCTTTCAGGTAATTTTGAATCTTCTGTAAACGCTGTTTCGTAAGGAAGTACTTCTGTATCTTAATCAAATTCCAAACATTTTCCCACTCGTGACTCGAATATTCGAGGTTATGTGTATCGCACCGTCATACAAGCACAGTTCTGAAATCTCGAACTCTGAGCGGGCATCGAGCTAGTTTGAAAGCCAGTGGAAATCATTTCTCAAAAAAAGTACGATCTTGAAATTCTTCTGTGTGGTGGGAATGAGAAAATAATTTGTTAACATCATGAAAATAATAGAAATTGGCCACTACAGCCTTTGCTCGTCTTTACTGTGCACAAGAATTAGAAACTTTTGAGTGCTATAATTGAAAATCAAATACTGGCCGAGTATGAATGTTTAAAAAACGATCAAAACTATAATTTGACAAATGACGGCATTCCGTAAATAAACCACAACCGCAGTCACCAGCAGATAACCACTGTCAGAATTGTTGGTATCGGCACTGAAAGCATCGGTAACCTCGGTTGATTAACAGAACTAATTATCCTAAGTGGCAGAGCGTCAATATTTTCGAGAATACCTCGCCCCTGCCGAAAGATAATATCCGATGGACCAGTGTAAAACTCAATACATGGATTTTAATACTTATAGTGCGTATGAGTATTACACTGGTCCATCGGATATTATCTTTCGACAGGGGCGAAATATTCTCGGATATTTTGACACTCCGCCACTAACTTAGATCAGTTTGAATGGCGGCCCGTTTGGATATTCTCGAAGGTTACATCACCACTTTCATTTGCTTCTTGTTTCAACTCGTTATCACGTGACGGAATTATGTGAGGATAACGACAGTGAAAAAGTTACTGTGCCGAGGAGTTGACTCATAAGTAAATATGCTATGCCGATTCTAGCACATTTTGACCACTTTTCACATGTCTATCTCCATGAGAAAATCAAAAATTGCAAAAATGGCTCCTTCAAGGTCATCCGCAGTCTTCAGATCACTACTTCAGAAGTCTTCAGATCACGACTTCAGAGGGCTTCAGAAGTTTTCTGAAGACTTCCGCGGATGACCTTGAAAGAGCCATTTTCGCTATTCTGAATCTTACATTTTCTTATGGAGATTAACATGAGAAAAGTGGTCAAAATGAGCTAGAATCTGTATAACATAGGTACTCTCAGATCAAGTGGTGGCCAGAGGTAGGGTTTTGATATCTGGCACATATGGCATAATTCTCATCGTGACACCCAATCGCAAAATTTTTCTAGCGCGAATTACCGCACAAAAAATCGTTATTTTAATAATTTTGCTCAGGATTGTGATTAGCACAGGTCCGTTCGATGAAATGAGTTGCATTTACACGCATTTGGGACAAATGCAGTCGCACCTTCAACAAAAACCAAACAACTTGCTAGATACAGCTAGAGTAAGAGAGACGACCCAAATGAAACAACAACATCAAACTGACATCAAGGCACCCCGAGATAAAAACGTCCCGACATGTGTTTGATCACTAATTGGAAATATTTGTACTATAGAAGCCTGATCTCAAAATATGAAGATTCAACCCAAATCAGCTGATGAAATGTCCCACCTGTCTGAGTTAGAGATCATTGTTATAGGGTCTTTCATTTCTGTCATTAGACACCTAAATTAATTTTTGCAATACTTCTCGCGCATTTTTATGTAAATAATGAGTCCATGTGTTGTCACGTCAGTTTTTTCGCTGTTTCCTTATTGGTCAGATAATCTTCCATTTCCACTCATGAAGCAAGGTTGTCAAGTCATCAATTATAATTAAGTTATCAAGAAGATGTCCTGTCGCTGAATTAAACATAATAGGAGGAACCCATGATAGTATAGTTCATTCTTAACGTTTTCGAGCAACCAGCATGTCCAAATATTTCTTATTCTTCATAACGAAATATCATGTGAGTGTTGGAGACTCGGCAATATTGTGCTGAGTGCTGAGAACTGACAAGACCACACCCACAAGTCGTGCACCGTGTTGTCACGTTCACCGATTCAAAGGTCCTCTAGTGTGAATCAATAATTATTATTTACACGGATTTATTAACCCATTTACGCCTACCGTCCTTTTAAAAGGACTTCAGAACGAAACCTGTATTTTTCTGATTCAGCTGACGGTTTGAAGATGTCGCCAGTGTCACATTATATTTTGTTGACATCTTAAACAAGGTCAATCGGTATCGTTAGGATTTTGTCAAGTTTTGGATCGATAGTGACGGTTTTTCAATCATGCCCCAATTGAAGAGAATCACAGCCTTGATGAGGTTATGATACCGTATTTTTTGGCCTATCATAGTAATTAGTTTCTGAAAGTTTCAAGTATTTTGCTGAGCATTTTGTATGATATCATACATATTATTAATCCATTTACGCCTACCGTCCTTTTAAAAGGACTTCAGGACGAAACCTGTATTTTTCTGATTCAGCTGACGGTTTGAAGATGTCGCCAGTGTCACATTATATTTTGTTGACATCTTAAACAAGGTCAATCGGTATCGTTCGGATTTTGTCAAGTTTTGGATCGATAGTGACGGTTTTTCAATCATACCCCAATTGGAGAGAATCACAGCCTTGATGAGGCTATGATACCGTATTTTTTGGCCTATCATAGTAATTAGTTTCTAAAAGTTTCAAGTATTTTGCTGAGCATTTTGTATGATATCATACATATTATTAAATCTTCGATTAGTTTTCTAATAGTTGCCCTTTATCCTACCGTCCTTTTAAAGGGACAGCGAGATCGAAAAACTTTTTATAATTTTTTCTCGACTTATGGAACCTTCTATCAACCGTTTTTGATAAAAAAATATACAAAATCGGAAAAAGTAGTTCCAGGGTCAAATGGGTTAAAAGAAATAAGTGACAAATCATAAGGGAACATTTTGAGACAATTGATTTTTTATTGCTAATTATGACTATTACCAATACTTATCTGAGAATTTATGAATTATTGAATAACTAATATTCCTGAAGTTCCCAATCGTGTTTCAACAAATGGCAACTATGCTATGGTCTGCCCCTACTTACGACATCGTGGCGTCAGTTTTCACTGCACACTAGCACATAAAAATCAACCGAAGAATTCTTTAAAAATATGAAATTCAAAGGTATTCGAGTGGTAATACTATACAGTGTGTCCCACTTACCATGCTCACCATGGGTATCTTTTTAACGGTGAGAGATACGAGGTCGGTTAAATGACACCAAATGTGAAGTTTGTCAAGGCCAACTATAATGTGAAAAAATATTATGATAAAAGCTATTCGTTTTTGTTTTATACGCAAAAAACAGATTTTGATCATTTTCATGTCTCCTCCGTAACTTCTTGATTCATGAAAATATTCAAATAGGAATTTCACATTCTCATGGCAGTTTTTTGAAGTGATTCCGAAAAAAAAAATAAAATTCATACCAACTCTTCTAGAATTTGAGATATCAGCACCAACTTTAGTTTTTCAAATGTAGGTCATAGCTCACTATGACTTAGTTACAAATAACTTTTTTTCCTCTTTCAGATGATGTGTTGCAGTAATAGTTTTGTGTTGATAACAACGGAGTTATCGTCATTTATACAAAAACAAAAAATTATTTGGAAGCCGCCATCTTGAATTTATAAATTTTAACAATAAAATCATGATCTCCGACCTCAAAAACCCCCACTAACCAATTTTGAATGTAATCGGACCAAATCTTGTCCGCCATCTTGGAGCAGCCATTTTTTTTTATTTCAACAAAAATTCCATAACTTCGATTAACTTGAAATTTGGCAGGTGTTCATAATTTCGGTGACAATACATTATGGAATTTTTGTTGAAATTAAAAAAAATGGCTGCTCCAAAATGGCGGACAAGATTTGGTCCGATTCCATTCAAAATTGGTAAGTGGGGGTTTTTGAGGTCGGAGATCATGATTTTCTTGTTAAAATTTATAAATTCAAGATGGCGGCTTCCAAATAATTATTTGTTTTTGTTAAATGACGATAACTCCGTTGTTATCAACACAAAACTATTACTGCAACACATCATCTGAAAGAGGAAAAAAAGTTATTTGTAACTAAGTCATAGTGAGCTATGACCTACATTTGAAAAACTAAAGTTGGTGCTGATATCTCAAATTCTAGAAGAGTTAGTACAAATTTCATATTTTTTTCGAAATCACTTTGGAAAATTGCCATGAGAATGTGAAATTGAATTTTTCCATAAATAAAGAAGTTACGGAGGAGACATGAAAATGATCAAAATCTGTTTTTTGCGTATAAAACAAAAACGAATAGCTTTTATCAAAATATTTTTTCACATTATAGTTGGCCTTGACAAACTCCACATTTGGTGTCATTTAACCGACCTCGTATCTCTCACCGTTAAAAAGATACCCATGGTGAGCATGGTAAGTGGGACACACTGTATAAGAAATAAACAAAATTGTACAAGAAATGGTGTTTGGTATCTACACTTTCCGCCAAATATGACAAGAAGAAGATTTCATTTTTATCAAGCCAAAAGAATACAAAGATTCCACAGAGGCTTCTCAGCTTGGTAGGGACAATGCTACGTCATATAGTTTCAGAGTACTGGGCATAAATAATTTTCGAATTTTCAAATAAATCACCCTGTAACTCAGACTGGAAACACACTTTATCCAGGTGATTCGGGTCAAATCTCCATATTTCGAGCTCATGATTCTATGGTCAAGATATTTACAATTAGTAATGAAACACCCTGTATAGACAATTAGACACCTCGTTTCATTCCACCGCAAAGCCGCAGGTTTCCTCTACGGCCTGAGTCAGCTTGTCCAAAAGTACTTGGTAGGTCTCGTAGGGCGGTATGTCGATCCTGTTGAAACAAGTGTGCGCTTTGGGCAGATTTTGGGGCGGGACATCAACGCAATGTATGGTGAAGAGTCTCGGCCCCGCGGCGCCCGTGCTGCCCTGTAAGGCTGCAATAACAAGACATGTAGTCCGTTTTTTTTTTAAATTACAGTTCTCAACACACTAAATGGACCACTCATAATGGGCGTGTACACCTTAGTAGAACTTTTAACTCAAACCATGTTTATAATGATCCTTTTATACATAAATAATGATTGACGACATAATTCGATCGAAAAATTAACTGGGAATATTTTATTTTTGGGCATAAATAATAGTACCTTCTGAAAACGGACCCTCTTATGACGTAGAAACCTCATCTCGCCATAGTTAAAAGAAAATACGAAATGCTCGACGGAGACTGAGGCAACTGATATATTAATTCTTTCAACTGTGATATCGCGCTAATTCACTCTGTCAGAAATCATGTATCATTCATCTCTGTCTGGAATAGTCTTGTTTCAGTATCAGGGTTTTGACGTCACATCATCGCCTCGTTTTCAGAGGTCCGAAAAATCGGGGATTTCAATAATTCTTTATAAAACGTAGGGAGCTCACAGCAAGAAACGGTTTGCGGTGGTGAGCTAGTTTGGGTGAGTTCTATCGAATTATGAAATAAAAATTTTTTGTGATATAAGCCCATTTGACTCTATTTCGAAGACCTGTATTTTTTGAAAAAATTGACCGATCATCATGCGGTTCAGATGAGATGTTTCATCGTCTTCAAAGAGAGCTAGAACACTCTGAAAAAGTCCGCAATACAAAACTTACACAGGGTGTAAAGTGGAACCATTACACTATGGTCTACATTTCCAATGCTGCCAGAACTCGAGAAATTTTTTTCTGATCAAAAATCAGTCATATTATGATACACTGGGACCTCATCTCGAGTCGTTTTCGTGATTTTTAGTTAATTGGCAATGGAACAAAAATTCGATTTTTTTTTCGAGTCTTGCATTTCTCGATTTTTTTTCTAGAACTCGACTTGAGCTGACTATTGGGAAGAACTGTTCTCATGTTTTGTGTAGACGAAAAAGACGAAAAAAGGCACTATTGTGGAATATACAGGATGATTAGAAAATAGGACAAAATCTCATTTCAGTAAGAAAAATAAAAAATGGTGACTAAAACCTTGGCCCATTCGATTCATTATATTCAGAAACGGCCTTCTCGATATCCATTATTTATATCAGACTATTAACTCGAGACGTATTAGAAAATTCGCCTCTAATTGAAATACAGGATGACAATTTTCAATTCAAACTTGTTTCCTGATATCGATGATTCTTATCAACAACCTGGAGCTAAAATCCACTACTTTTTTCCCTTGTATAATAAATAACTATTAAAATCAGCTTACAAACTGTTCTTCCACTTAACCTTCAATATATCGCTAGGTGTAGGTATAGCTTGAACAAGAGAAAGAAAAAAAAACATGAACAATTCATATACATTAATAATAATAATTTTTATCGCACGGATATTTTAGGGTTGCCTTGAAAACAAATGTGTCTTGTATACCTTCTTTAATCTTTGTATATTACCAAGGTTTCGCGAAATGAACAAAGGGCATAAGATAAGGTATGAAATTGAAATTTTGTAAGATCTCTTTCAACGTCTATGAATGTGACGTGACAGCAATGTCATGTCAGGGATGCCAATACACGAAACCAAAGTCACTAGATGATTAAAAGAGAAAGGAGCTATGATCTGTCCGTACCCTGTTAGATGACAAATACGTCAGTTTGCATCAAGGGACCCTAGGGTTAGGCATGCATTCCAGTTAAGAATAGTGCATATGTGAGATAGAGGTCGATTGAGGCCGTGGCGGCATAGATGCACTACTTTTGAATGTAAATTTTTATGTTGGTACTGGTATAAATTCTAACAAACGACTGTCTCCGTACCTAGTTGCTCTCAGTTTCTTATTCGAAGCGCGACAGGAAGTTGACGAAGTTGATGAGAAACAGTGATGACGATAATTAACAAAAATATGAGCAATCTGTTGTGTCATACGAAAAAAGTTATACAAAAATGTACCCAAAAAAACATGAAATTATCAATTCAAAGTGATTTCACGGTTCATTCTTAGAATATAATAAATGGAATTCGTGATGGGACCAAACTCTTATATTATGGGCTGATTAGTTTCGCATTTCTCCATTTATATTCACATTCACAAACATCGACTTCAATGGTTTATGAATATTTTGGTGAAGTATCAAGTATATTTTATTGTTTAGACTTTTCTTCAAGAACGCATTACATAGCTTGGCTCCGTGAACATCAAAAACTATTTTCACTCCCCTCTACTTTGCTTTCTTTCATTTGACGATGCTAACGTCCAAAAACATCAACTTGGTTATCGAAAAAAATTATATCCCACATTGCTGTTATGATATAGTTATAATTAATGTATTCGAAGAACAATTTCTTGAAATCTAGACATATTGATGATGTCGGTGATGTGGTACAGGCGCAGGAAATCGTATTTAAATTCTGTGTGAATGTGGCTTTGCAAAAAGTCCGTCATAGGAATGGTGAAGGAGCCAAATCCCTTTTTCATTTATTTTTTTCTGTAGTGGGATTTGATCTTACGAAGAAAAGACAAAATACGTATACAGGGTGGGCCACCAGTAACGCCTCGGTCTCTAGAAGGCTAACCACTAATCTTCTTGGAATTCTTCCTCTCTAGGAAGTTGCATGTCAACATAGGCTACCATTCAAAATTATTTCGAAACATACAGGGTGTCCCCAAAGACCATAAAACACTGAAGTTAAACTTTTTTCTATCGAACACCCTATATATTATTTCATTTTGAGATGAGCTGATTTCAACGATACTTGGGGTCTAGCAGTTATAATTACTGAAATATAGGGTGTGAAAAATCGAGATTTTCCAAGCTCAAGAATTTTTTGTGTCGAAACTATTCATAATTGGTCAAAACGGCTTACATGTCCCTATCTCAACTTTTGATTAACTATCTACTGATATTTAATTGGGACATATACCGGGTGATCAAAATTCTGAATTCTGCACCACCCTGTATTTGTTTCAATTAAATGTCAGTAGATAGTTGATCAAAAGTTGAGATAGGGACATGTGAGCCGTTTTGACCAATTATGAATGGTTTAGACACAAAAAATTCTTGAACTTGGAAAATCTCGATTTCTCACACCCTATATCTCCAGTAATTATAACTGCTAGACCCCAAGTATGATGGATTGTTGAAATCAGCTCACCAGGGAGAATCTCAAAATGAAATAATATATAGGGTGTTCGACTGAAAAAAGTTCAACTTCAGTGTTTTGTGATTTTTGGGGACATCCTGTATGTTTCAAAATAATTTCAAATGGGTAGCCTATGTTGACATGCAACTTCCTAGAGAGGAAGAATTTCAAGAAGATAAGTGGTTAGCCTTCTAGAGACCGAGGCGTTACTGGTGGCCCACCCTGTATATATTGAATTTATACAAACTTGACAGTGCGATACAAACCTCAATATTCACGATAGAAAATAACACGTTGCCCCATCTGATGGCAACAACTAGATCACTTCTGAGCGGTTTGTTTTGATAGTATGACCAATGAGCACAAACAGAAACAAATGTGAACCAATGAAAACAACGTAAACAGGCCGATACGTGGCATACGCTTATTTTCTATCGTGAATAGGCAACTTCCCAATTGGCGGGGACCAATTAGTCCCACGCATTTGTTAAAAAGTCGAAAATGATAAAAAAAACGTCACAAAATTCGTCACAGAATAGTCACGCATTTGTCAATACGTCAAAAATGTCATAGAAACGTCTCAGAATCGTTAATCGTCGTTGGGTTAGGCAGGCATTCCAGTTAAGAATAATGCATATGTGAGATAGAGGTCGATTGAGGCCGTGGCGGCATAGATACACTACTTTTATCTGTAAATTTTCATGTTGGTACTGGAATAAATTCTAGAAAACGACTGTCTTCGGACCTATGTGCTCATTTTCTTAGTCAAAGCGCGACAGGAAGTTGACGAAGTTGATGAGAAACATCAATGACGATAATCAACAAAAATATGAGTAATCTGTTATGTCATACAAAAAACGCCAATAAAACAAAGAACTCGGATACGGAAATGTATTCATTCTTTGAATATAATGAATTAAGTTCGTGATAGGAACATAATCTAATATTATGGGCTGATTAGGTTGGCATTTCTACATTTATGTTCACATTCACAAACATCAACTTCAATCGTTTTTGAATATTTTAGTGGAGTATCAAGTATATCTTATTGTTTAGACTTTCCTCTAAGAATACATCACATAGCTTGGCTCCGTGATCATCAAAAACTATTTTCAATCCCCTCCACTTTGCTTTCTTTTATTTGACGATGTTCACGCCCAAAAACATCAACTCGGTTATCGGAAACGTGTTCAAACGTTTTCAAATATCTTCAAGGTGTTCTGGTTAAACCTACTAGTAATAATAATATTTATTGATCCCAAGAAACATACAATGTTTATATAAGGAAACAAAAAATATATAATAAATGAGTCAAATCTGCAATACAATGAAAGATAAACAGTTCAATCAGAATCAATTGATACAAGGAGAGACTCAAATTGATAAAATATACTTCTTCAGTTCACACTTGAATTTTGTGACGAACCTAATAGATTTTATTCTGTTGGCTAGACTATTATAAATATTTATTCCACAAAAATACAAATCGCCACTTTGAAAACAACCGAATTGAATCAGTGAAGAAACAAATTGAAACTCACCTTTGAATCCTTGTAAAGGCACCCTCGAGCTACCTGTCACAAACTGTAACAGTCTAGCTCTCATTTCTTCCGAATAAGACTCAACGGCCTGCCAAAACCATTGGACGACAGGCGTGTCCAAAGTGCAGTGTTTCAGCCTAGTGTGTGACCTCCAATCCGCTATGTCGATCGATCCTACATAAAACCGCCTCAATCAACAACAGAGTTGCGGAAAATCATTTGAAAAAACACAAGCGAAACTTGATACAACCTCAGAAGAGATTGAAAAGATTGTTTAGTAAGGATATTTATTATATTCAAGAACTTTGAACACCCTTTAACATAGACATGAAAAGAGGGGAAAGGAAATTGTTTACATTTTGTCCCGATCCAACATCGTTTTCAGCAGATAATGATGATGACAAATTTCTGCAGATTGCCCTAGATCTACCGCCTGTGTTTGATAACGATCGACGCATTCATCATACAACAATCTAATATAGTGGTCGAACTCCTCCGAAACGGCTTGACCGATTCGTATGAAATTTTTTGTGCGTATTCGGTAGGTATGAGAATCGGACGTAATCTATTTTATATATAAGGTAGTGGATATGGCATCGTGAAAAAATTGTCGAAATTTTGCGCACTTATATCACTGCAATGTTGACCAAATGTCAATTCACTTAATCATCATCTCATTCTATTTCAACCATAGCTAACTTGGACCAAATATTAATATTTAATTTTGCTGATATTTCGTCAAGCCCTCGATAGAATATATGAAAAGTATATATTTTCAAAATCAGGAAAGATAGCTCTTTCGAAATATGCGATAATATACAGGGGGTTCCATTTGAAAAAAAAATTTTTTCACAAACCCTGTATATGAAATGATAAAATCAAGCAGAGAACACATTTTCTAGAAGGAAATGACATCTCATTCAAGTAACTTTTTCCAAATTTCAAATATCTTTTTTCGTTTTCGAGATATCAGCTGTTGAAGTCGAGAAATCCATAGTCAATCACCCTGTATATACTTTTTTATTACAAAAAATATTGAAAGTCTCTCAGATCGACGTCACCGCTCATGTTTCGTAAAACCACTTCACCACTGGAGGAGGGTTGAGTCAAAATACAGTGTGATGTGTTGTGTTGTGTTTGTTACCATTTTAGGGCATTGGTGTTTCAATTGATTTTCAGTGTTATCTTGTTATGAACGTGGATTGTGAAAAAGTTCACCATACAAACCCCAAGGTTATATGTTTCCTTTAACTTGAGCACTGGTGTAGGTTATTCAACTAAATTATTGCAAGAAAGCTTGTTTTTTTTCTTCTAATTCCACTGAATGATGGATCAGAAGTTCCTAAGGTACTATGAATATTTGGTATCAAAATTGAAAAAGTAGACCCAAACATTTTCTAATGGGTGAAATGGCGTTGTCAGTAGTAAAATTGTCTAGCTCCTCGCTTAACCTACGCGAGGTGAAGAAAAGCGTGAACATTGACGCAAAGTTTACCAGCGTTGCCATTTTTGAAAAATAGTATTTTATGAATGAAATTTTATTTTTCCCCTCTTTTATATGTCTTCTAACAGCTCATCCTGTCGGATACGTTATTAGTTTTTAATTGTTGATATGAATTGATGTCTGATTTGATTAATGAATGCAATCCATTGATCCAAAATATTGAAAATTAATACACGTAGAAATCAAAATAATTGTGCATCTTCATGTTCAACTTGAAATATGTCGAAAAATAATAACTTTATCACTATGAAGAAAGAGTACGATATTCAGGTAGAAAGTATTAGATAATAGAAATATTGTGATGAAATGTCAATTTCGCCAGTGGCGTAGAATCTGGGAAGGATCAACCTGTCACTTCCCCTACTATACACCTCACGTCAAATTATGAAAATAATACGTTAATTAGTTCCAAAGTACTAGGCACAAATAATTTTTAAATTTTCTAGGTGATTTGAGTTAAATCTTCATATTTTGAGCTCTGGACACTAACAAGATGAACCATCCTTATGAGAGCAATGAAGCCAGAAATTATATCCAGTAGGTTTAGAAATTACTGTTCTTATAAAAACATTGTTTTGTCTCATGAGGAAACACATTATGATGATGATTATCATTATTATTTTCCTTACCGATGCCGCTTATCACGAGCTCCAGCTCCCGCTCGTCGAACGGCCTTAACGAAGTCGAAGGAATGAGCTCAGAGAAGCCCTTTTGCAGCGCCAAAAACTGCTGCTCAATGCCGCGCATGAACCGATAATTCACGTACAATTTGACGTACTCGCGCTTGTTGTCCTCGGTGACGGGAATAGAAGCCCCAGAAGGTTTCAGTTCGTGCACTTTCACGATGCCGAAACTGTTGTTTTCCACGGAGAAAGTGGTGTCTAACACGCCGTCGATGTCGTTTTCCCTGCAAGAGAAAGGGCTTAACTGTCGTCGCCAATGTTCATACAAACATTCGCGATTGATGAATCTTATGTTTTTTAGTTGAGGTGTTGAAAAGGCATAAGTGCTTATTTGAAGTTCAAAAGGGTCTAAGTGACAATTAATTTCTGGTACGTTGTCCTTTGCCGAGAAGGTGAGAATAGAAGCCCCAGAAGGTTTCAGTTCGTGCACTTTCACGATGCCGAAACTGTTGTTTTCCACGGAGAAAGTGGTGTCTAACACGCCGTCGATGTCGTTTTCCCTGCAAGAGAAAGGGCTTAACTGACGTCGCCAATGTTCATACAAACATTTGCGATTGATGAATCTTATGTTTCTTAGTTGAGGTGTTGAAAAGGCATAAGTGTCTATTTGAAGTTCAAAAGGGTCTAAGTGACAATTAATTTCTGGTACGTTGTCCTTTGCCGAGAAGGTGGGAATAGAAGCCCCAGAAGGGTTCAGTTCGTGCACTTTGACGATGCCGATACTGTTGTTTTCCACAGGGAAAGTGGTGTCTAACATGCCGTCGATGTCGTTTTCCCTGCAAGAGAAAGGGCTCAACTGACATCACCAATGTTCGTACAAACATTCGCGATTGATAAATATTATGTTCTTCAGTTGAGGTGTTGCAAAGGCATAAGTGTATTTTTGAATTTCAAAAGGGTCTAAGTGACAATTTATTTCTGGTACGTTGTTCTCTACCGAGAAGGTGGGAATAGAAGCCCCAGAAGATTTCAGTTCGTGCACTTTGACGATGCCGAAATTGTTGTTTTCCACGGAGAAAGTGGTGTCTAACACGCCGTCGATGTCGTTTTCCCTGCAAGAGAAAGGGCTTAACTATCGTCGCCAATGTTCGTACAAACATTCGCGATTGATAAATCTTATGTTTTTCAGTTGAGGTGTTGCAAAGGCATAAGTGTCTATTTGAAGTTCAAAAGGGTCTAAGTGACAATTAATTTCTGGTACGTTGTCCTTTGCCGAGAAGGTGGGAATAGAAGCCCCAGAAGGTTTCAGTTCGTGCACTTTGACGATGCCGAAACTGTTGTTTTCCACGAAGAAAGTGGTGTCTAACACGCCGTCGATGTCGTTTTCCCTGCAAGAGAAAGGTCTTATCTGACGTCGCCAATGTTCGTACAAACATTCGCGATTGATAAGTCTTATGTTTTTTAGTTGAGGTGTTGAAAAGGCATAAGTGCTTATTTGAAGTTCAAAAGGGTCTAAGTGACAATTAATTTCTGGTAAGTTGTCCTCTACGATAATTATTGACGGACAGTCTGACGAACTCGCCCTTGTTGTCCTTGGTGGAGGAAATCATATCTCCAGAAGGTTTCAGTTAGTGCACTTTGACGATGCCGAAACTGTTGTTCTCCCTGCAAGAGAAAGGGATCAACTGACGTCGCACGTCGACAATGTTGGTTGCAAACAGTCGTGCTTGATAAATCCTATATTTTCTAGTTGAGATGTTGAAAGGTTATAAGTGTTCATGTGTGAAAGGAGCCAACTGACATCGTTAGCTGAATTTATAGTGATTAGATAAAGAGTTCAAATGCCATCGCCGATGTGACTAAAAAGTTAATGTTTCTCTGAACGTTTGCAATCGATGAATTGTACATTTACCCGGTTCAACTTGAAGGATCTAAGTGAAAACTTCAAGTACAATCTGTGTTTTGTAAGAAATGCTTCAACTGTCATTGCCAATGAATATTGTGTTTCAAATTTTCAAGACTTACCTACTTGATTTTGTTTTCGGCGCCCAACGTGTGGTACATACTCACCGTGGTGGTGACTACAGTACGACTTGACGGTTATGAAATGTAAAAACAAAAATTATACCAGAGCCCATAAAGAACTTACAACATCCACGTGAGACTCCTGTGCAATTCAGGATCCACCCCTTCAATGTCCTGCAAGGTGATCGGCTTGTTCAACAGCTGTTTGTAAAAGGGCAACGTAAAACCACCCTCTAATTGGTGATTGTGAAAAACAGCCACGCCCAGCACCCTGCCCACAAAGTGAAAGTAGGAAAGGTGTTCGGGATTGATCGACGAATCGGGATTGATTTGCAACGTGTAGTGATCGTCTCTGCTGTACTGGAACAGGCCGTACTGCGGATTGAGCATCTCCATAGAGAGCAGATGGAGCCACTCTCTGGCCACGCCGCCGTAATCGAGACCTTCCTCGCCGCGGAATTTCACCATCAGACGTTTTCGCATGTCTTTCGGTCGCATTTTCATTATAAGTCTGCAATAATCGATCGATTTTAACATCAGTGTAGAAAGGAGCTAAGTGACAATTGCGTGAAACAAGCGATTTTGCGTACAAAAATGTGAAAGTATGCAAAAATTGATCGACTCAATCATTAGTGCAAAAAGGAGCTAAGTGATAAATACCGCGAAACAAGTGATTTCACGTAAAAAAAAGTATTGCTCTTCAATAATTCATCGATTTCATCAATTGTGCAAAGAGGTGCAGTGACAATTGCAAGAAACAAGTGATTTTACGTAAAAAAAATATTGGTCCTGAATAATTCATCGATTTTATCAATTGTGCAAAAAGGTGCAGTGACAATTGCGCGGAACAAGCGATTCTGCGTACAAAAATGTGAAAGTATGCAAAAATTGATCGACTCAATCATTAGTGCAAAAAGGAGCTAAGTGATAAATCCCGCGAAACAAGTGATTTCACGTAAAAAACAGTATTGCTCTTCAATAATTCATCGATTTCATCAATTGTGCAAAAAGGTGCAGTGACAACTGCACGAAACAAGTGATTTCACGTGAAAAAAATTATTGGTCCTGAATAATTCATCGATTTTATCAATTGTGCAAAAAGGTGCAGTGACAATTGCGCGAAACAAGCGATTTTGCGTACAAAAATGTGAAAGTATGCAATAATTGATCGACTTTATCATTGGTGCAAAAAAGAGGTTAGTGATAAATCTCGCGAAACAAATGATTTCACGTAAAAAACAGTATTGGTCTTCAATAATTCATCGACTCTATCATTGGTGCAAAAAGGAGCTAAGTGATAATTTCGCGAAACAAGTTATTCCACGTAAAAAACAGTATTAGTCTTCAATAATTCATCGATTTCATCAATTGTGCACAGAGGTGCAGTGACAATTGCACGAAACAAGTGATTTCACGTGAAAAAATGTATTGGTTCTGAATAATTCATCGATTTCATCAATTGTGCAAAAAGGTGCAGTGACAATTGCGCGAAACAAGCGATTTTGCGTACAAAAATGTGAAAGTATGCAATAATTGATCGACTCTATCATTGGTGCAAAAAGGAGCTAAGTGATAATCTCGCGAAACAAGTGATTTCACGCAAAAAAATGTATTGGTCTTCAATAATTCATCGATTTTATCAATTGTGCAAAAAGGTGCAGTGACAATTGCGCGAAACAAGCGATTTTGCGTACAAAAATGTAGAAGTATGCAATAATTGATCGACTCTATCATTGGTGCAAAAAGGAGCTAAGTGATAATCTCGCGAAACAAGTGATTTCACGTAAAAAACAGTATTGGTCTTCAATAATTCATCGATTTCATCAATTGTGCAGAAAGGTGCAGTGACAATTGCGGGAAATAAGTGATTTCGCGTAAAAAAGTAAAAATCGTGAGTCAGAGAAAATCAATCAATTCTAAAATTTATGTTAAAAGGAACTAAGTGACCATTCCAATGAACATGCGGTTTCGTGCACAAAGGGTATAAGTGCCATCGTTATTGTTGGTGGAAATGCGTTATGTCACGTTTACAAAAGCATTCATGATGATGATGGCACTTAGACCCTTATACACTTGAAACAGCATATGCAATGACAATTTCGTAAGTAAGAGAGAGCAACTTCTGAATAGTTCAAGGGGTGAATATTTCAATACTCACCTATAACTCTCCTCAAACACTTCACTTCTAGACACCTCTAATCGGCAATGTCCACTTTGAGGTTGCAATGCCGCTAGTTCAGCTCTCAGCACCTTAAGGAATAACAATTGGTATTTTTCAATGTCATCTGGATTATCAATTCAATTATTGATATCATTTTGACCTAAGGGACTGGAGATTCTAATTTAAAAGGTTTATAATAGAAAGTTAACCTCTCTTGTTGTCTTCCCGATATTTTTGTGAGCTATTTTCTGTAACTTTTCATTCTGGAAACCGAAAAAATATTGGGAAATGAAACATGTTAATGTACCAAAGGACAATACATTATGAATGTTGCTACTATATAATATCCCAAAGAACGAACAATAACGCAATTTTATGTCAAATGAACACTTTCAAAATACCGAAGGAATACATAAATGAAAAATAAGTAACCAAAGAATAAAATGTATGTGAATTAATACCTTTAATACAACAATGGACGAAATATTACTATGAATAAATACCTTTGATATAGGTACCAAAGAACTCGATATTATGTAGAATAAACCCTTTAGATGTACCAAAAAACAAGATAAATGAAAAATAAACAATTTCAATATACCAAAGAACGAAATATAGATATATAAATAGGCATTCCAATTACAACAAAGGACGAAATAAATGAGCAATGAACACCTCTCATACACCAAAAAAAACAATATTTCATGAAATGAATACTTTTAATCAATCAAAGAATAAAATACAAGTGTGGCAAGATACCTTCATCATAATTACCTTCAATTTCGCCACCAGATCCCTCCTGTACTTGGGCAGGTGCTCGGACTCGTTGAGCAGACCAGCAGGCAGGTCATCTACCGCCCGGGGCGGCCTCGGACTCACCGCCTCCGCCGGCTGGGCCGCCGTCACACCGGCGTGACAGTTGGGCATAGGCGTAGAAGAGGCGGTAGGAGGAGCGGTGGAAGGGGAGGTAGGGGAGGAAACGACGGCGGTAACGGTGGTGGGAGGTGGAGAGGCGGGATTAGGGATGGGAGGAGGTTTTTTGAGGAGGTTGTTGAGGATTTGCGGGTTGAGGCGCGGATCGGTGAACTGGGTGGTGCGTTTGTTGTGGTCGACGAAGTAGATCTGCAAAAATCGACTTTTAGTTTTCCTGCGTGTCCAGACAGGCAGGGATTTTTTTGTTTTTACCCTTCCGGAGTTTGTTTGTCTCATTTCCCATCCGGGTGGCAGAGGTCCTAAATGGTCGGCATCCAAACTGATTGGGGAAATGTCTTTGGGGATTCGGGGGTCGTGCCACGTGGACACACCGGTCGGTATGTGATAAAAATAAACCTGCCCTTGTTGCGTAGTTCGCAGCTCTGAAAGGTAGACGAAATCGTGGAAATCGTGTTCGTTGAATGGATAATTTGAAATTTTTTTCAATTTTTGACCCCTTAGAAAAAAAATTTAGTACGCCCCAAATTTCAAGATTTTGTCTGTAACAAATTTATTTTGAAAAAATTGAGTAAGCCTCGAAAGCGAGATTTTGTCCGAAACAAATTAATTTTCCATTTTGACCCCCTAGGAAAAAATATGTAGGCCCTAAAAGTTGGAATTTTGTCCAGAACAAATCAATTTTCTATTTTGACTGACAAAAAAAAAACGAGTACGTCACAAAAGTTGATATTTTATCTGAAGTAAAGCAATTTTCTATTTTGACCCCCTACGAAAAAAAATTGAGTACGCCCCAAAAGTCAATATTTTGTCCGAAACATATTATTTTTACATTTTTGACCCCCTAATAAAAAAAGTCGATTATTAATTGATGTTTTCATTCTTTTTCCCGAAAAAAAAATCGGGTACGCTCTAAATAGAGATTGTGTCCGAAACAAGTTTATTTTTTACTTGGACTCCTTAAGGAAATGTCGATGATTCAAATTTTTTCTGTTGACCATCAAGAAAAAAAATCGAGTACGCCCCAAAAGTCGGGATTTTGTTCGAAACAATGCAATTTTTTATTATAACCCTCTAATAAAAGAATCTAGTACGCCCCAATATTCGGGATTTTGTCTGAAACAAATTAATTTTATAATTTGACCCCCTGAGAAAAAATATTGAGTACGCCCCAAAAGTCGCGAATTTGTCCAAAAAATAATAATTTTCTGATATTTTATTTTCACCCTTCAAGAAAAAAATTAGTACGCCCGAAAATTCGGGAATTTGTCCGAAACGAATTTTCTGATATTTTATTTTCACCCCTCAAGAAAAAATTGCGTACGCCCCAAAACTCTGGAATTTGTCCGAAACGAATTTTCTGATATTTTATTTTCACCCCTCAAGAAAAAAATGCGTACGCCCCAAAACTCTGGAATTTGTCCGAAACAAATTTTCTGATATTTTATTTTCACCCCTCAAGAAAAAAAATGCGTACGCCCCAAAAGTCAGATCATCTTCATTACCGTATCCGGAAGGCAGATCCATGCGAATTCCGGCAACAGGCGCATTGCTGCCCCCTTGCGACGCCGTCCCGACGCCGGGTCCGGGGCCGTTGCGGCTGCGCGTCGGTCGCCGCCTCCCGCTGCCCTCCCTCCTCTCCTCACCGCCCCGCTGCCGCCTCTCGCGTGTCGGACCGCGAGGCGGCGTTTGCTGATTGGCCGTTGAAGTTTGGGAGGCGCCCAGGGGCGTGGTTTGGGCGGTGATCAGGACGCTACTGAAACGGAAGGTACGTTCGCGATAGCAATTGGAATATAGATATCAAAGTTTTTCATTTATTCGTAAGTGGAAAATTTTCGAATATTCAGTTTTCAATTTTAGACCTCTTAGAAAAAAAAATTGAGTACGTGCCTAAATAATTTTGAAGAAACTGGAACTTCGATATCAATTATTTTCTACGTCCCTGAATAATTTTGAAGAAACTTCGATATCAATTTTTTTCAATCAGTAAGTCCCTGAAGTTAGAATTTTGATTTTTATGGACGTGCTTTGAAGGGTTTTTGCAACTAATATTTTTAATGAAAATTATGAATTATTCTTTTTACCCCTTGAAATAATATTTGAGTACACTCATTAAGTGGCAGTTTCGATTTTCTCTGGTTATAATTGCATCCCAAAAAAATGGCACGCCTCTGGAGACACAGTGTTGATGACCACTCTGATAAAATCACTATTTTGCTAATTAATCGTCAATAGCTAGAAGTAAAAAACAACAAGTAAAAACCAAAAAAGTCTACTCACTTGCTACTCGGTGCATTGCAACTGATGTTGTTCGGCGCGGCCAACACGGTGGTCGAAGTGGGCGAGACCACCTGTTGCTCAGCCATAGAGGCGGGGCCACCAGACTGGTGAGACGGCCTGATAGGCGAAGGGGCGTGGTCGATCGTGACGGCTGATTGGTGGGACGGCCTCGTCGGGGAGGGGGCGTGGTCGTTGGGAGGCGTGAGAAGCGGTGGGGGAGAGGCTGGGGAAGAGGTGCTAGAACAGGGGGTAACGGGGGTGATGGGCGGAGGTTCGGAGTTGTTGTTTTCGGTCGTCGGATCGGCGTCGGATCTACGAACGATAATGAACAGTTGGTGTGTTGAACAGAGACGATGCCTTGTTTTATCAGATAATATTTTGACAATGGGCAAGAACGATGAGTGATTTCTATTTGACTGTGCATATATTTGATATACTGTATACAGGGTGTATCTAAATAACACTGAAAAATGCAAGGGGGGATTCCTTGTGATATTCTAGCAAATGAAGTTCATATAAACATGTATCCCAACTTAATCCGTTTTTGAGATACAGGATGTTGAAGATTGGTGAATTTGGTGTCGTAATGAACGAATCTGTGGTGGAAATCGGAACATTTTGGAAAATGGAGACGTAGTAGCCTACCGGAGTGCTTCTATTGGCAATAAAAGCGAAGAGCTGACTTTGAGCACCGATATCTCGAAAACTATCTGTCCTATCGGGCTGATCATGGTCTCATTCGATTCAGCGTGTCATTTTCTACTAGAAAAGCGATAACGCGTGTGAATTTCTGCTGTTTTCTGACACTTCCGGCTGTCCGAAGATGGCTCGGTGACTATATCGAACTGAAGTCTCAGGTGAAGAAATGGAAATATTTATTCAGCGTATAAAAAATCTGAAAAAATTCACATAAGACTGATTCGGTGTCGTAATGAACGAATCTGTTGTGGAAATCGGGACCTTTTGGAAAATGGAGACGTAGTAGCCTACCGGAGTGCTCCTATTGACAATAAAAGCGAAGAGCTAACTTTGATTCCCGATATCTCGAAAACTATCTGTCCTATCGGGTGGATCATGGTGTCATTCGATTCAGCGTGTCATTTTCTACTAAAAAAGCGATTATTCGCGTGAATTTCTGCTGTTTTCTGGCACTTGCGGCCGTCTGAAGATGGCTCGGTGACTATATCATACTGAAGTCTCAGGTGGGGAAATGAAAATTTTTATTTGACCTATGAAAAATCTGAAAAAAATCACATAGACTGATTCGGTGTCCTAATGAACGAATCTGTGGCAATCTATAGGCAATAAAATCGGAAAGCTGACTTTGAGCGCCGATATCTCAAAAACTATCTGTCCTATCGGGCTGATCATGGTGTCATTCGATTCAGCGTGTCATTTTCTACTAGAGAAGCAATAATTCTCGTGAATTTCTGCGGTTTTCTGGCACTTACGGCCGTCCGAGGATGGCTCGGTAACTATATCGTACTGAAGTCTCAGGTGGGGAAATGAAATTTTTTATTTGGCCTATCAAAAAACCGAAAAAATTCACATAGACTAATTCGGTGTCGTCATGAACGAATTTGTGGTGGAAATCAAGAAATTTTGGAAAATGGAGACGTAGTAGCAACCGTAACCTGAAAAAGTTGAAGATATAAAAAAAAAATACATTGTTACTGGCTGAAGGACCTCGGTCGATGACCATTTGGTTTTAACCAATAAAGAACATTTTTTATTATCATTATAATTATTCATTTGATATAACTTGTATTAAATCGATAGAAACTCACCTGCAATTGTCCAAGTTGTTATTGTCGACGTTATTGGTGTTAACAGAGACATTGTTGTTCAACCTAGGCCTGGCTGGTCTCACTTTTCCTGTTGTTTGTGGTTTGACCCATTGCGTGGATCTAGTGATGTGATTGACGTAGTAGAGGCGTCCACTAGGCGTCCTGGGTCAGTCAATCAATAAATAAATCAATCAATCAACATGAGTGAAAATTCATGTTTCAATATTATTTTCCCTCGTTGAAAGGAGGAGAAACTGTTCATCCGGTCGACAGATATTACGATTTTGCTTTCAAAACTGAATTGAGAGAGAAAAAATAATGTTAACAGAACACACCAGAGCTGAATAGAACAATCCGTTCCCTAGATATGACGGTTTGAAATGTTCTAAAAAGTTTCACGGAGTAGGCCGGGAAGTATCACATCCTTGTTGTCACTGTGAAACTATGAAAATCGCGGTAGATATGGTTTTGATAGAGATGTATAGAAATTCAACTGGTGGGCTCACTCTTCAATTGTTTCGTCAGACTAACTCTCGATATGGAACAATTGCAAGCGAGTTTTGGACGTAGGGGTTCAGGTATTTGACGATAGAGGCGCCATAATCGGAAAATCGTTCAAAACCTTGGTTCTGTGAGGGATGAATCTATTTCCATCATTGTTCTGTGGTCGAATTCCGTCAGTGACATCTGTCAATTCGTATTCAGCGATTTAGATTCGAACATTCGGAAAATTCGTACGAGATATAAAGTGTTTAGTGTTTTAATCTTGTAATTGTTGTTCATTAGTGTTTAATTCTTTAATTGTTGTTCAGTAGGTTTGTTGTTTGTTTGGTTTATAGTGTTTAGTTTTTATATTTCATCATGGACTGGCGTTGCTGCAATATATGCGGATCGTATAAAAATCCGCAACTCCGTATGATATCTGTACCAAAAGTAAGTAAGTAAGAATTCAACTAACAACTAATCATATAGGTACTACTTGCGAATGCACCAAGAATTCAATTCAAATTGGAAGATATTTTCATTGATCTGTTGATTTTCTCAGTGAAAGAATCAAAAGATACCTCTAATACCTAGGGATTTTTTAAGAAAATACCTTGAACTTATTCTTGAACGTACTTTCTCAATACGTATATACAATCTAGCATGTTGAGAATATTTTTGACATATTGACGTTTCAATCCATTGATCAGAAATCAGTTCACTGCTCTGATCCAAATCATATACGTATCCAAATATTTATCGGTCGGTAATATGTTTCCTGTAAATATGGATTTTAACCAGGATGAGCTTAGCGAGATTTACCCACGTCAAGTATGTTTATCAAAGGTTTATCAGAGTAGGCGCCATCGAGAAACTTGCAAACGACCTTCAATAGGGAGTAAGCGCACCAGTTAAATTTCTATACATCTCTGTTTTGATAAATGCAGATGATGATTACCATAGCAGCGAAATATCGGCTGACAGCTATTTGACATGAAATTAGTTGACATTTTGATTTTCGAAAGTTTGGTTGCAATTATCCCAATAAACTATCGAAAGCAGCTGCCATAGTGAGTTTGAAAATGTCCATACAAAATTTCCAATGTTACAGTTAGTAGGTATAGGAATTCTGTTCAAATTTCAGTATTTGATACAAATGAGAATCAATAAAGAAGAAATTGTATTCTACAAAGAAATATAATATGGAAATGTGTCTCATTGATTTGTTATTCTACATGGTTGCCGAAAAAATTGTGTACGCAACATGTCCAAAAACGTTTTTTTTTTATCCACAGACTTCCAGAACTCGCCTTGAATTTTGTGTACTTGTCCAAAAAAACAGTATTTTCCGGACTTGTTATGTAAATTACTATTTTTCCATACCTGCGTTCCTCCCAACCTGGCGGCAATTCTTCGGGACTCGTCTCGTGATCTGTGGGCCCCCTGAGGTCCCCCAAAGGCCCCACAATGGCCAGAGGGGTGCCCCCACAGGGCCCATCTCGAGATAACAGAGATATTATTATTTGCCCTTTCACTGGTTCGCTGTCATCAGCATTTGCCTTGCCCAAATCCAGGCATTGATCTAAAAATAACGGTAATAATAGTTCTTTATTATACAAGTGAAAAAAGTTGTAGATTTTAGCTCCAGGTTGTGTTGTCTCGTGAGCGTGAGCTAAAATCTAATATTTTTCCCGTGTATAATACACGACTTTTCTCTGTGACAGAAGAAAGGACGAATCAATATTGAGAAGATATTACATTATTTCGAAATCTGAAAATTGTCGACGTGAAATTTTGAGTTTTTAACAGTAGGGACACCTGCGTTGTAGGCATCTTTATCATTCTTTTGAAGTAATCAAATATCTGATGTCACTTCTGTCAGTCTAATTCTGTGATTTGATTTGTTTGTTGTTTAGTAATATACATAACCGCGAAGTCGAATGGAAGATAAAACGACTTGCAGTTCTTTTTCGGAGACGGTATTATTGACTCATTTTTCGGAACTATAGCAGAACAAAAGCCATCAACAGTGTATATACAGGGTAACTCACGGTCGATGGTACGTTAGACGTTTATGGAGAACGGGACATAGGATCATTCTGAAATTTCGGTTACTCACGTAATTGCTCTTGGTCTATCGATCTAAAATATTTTCAGCTCTGAGGCGTTGCCGCTTCTATCGAAAAGTAGCAACAACTTTGTTATTTTAAATGGAACACCCTGTATTTTATTGCATTTTCAGATTCTCTCTGAAGAGCTGATTTCATCGATGTATCGCACTCGGGGTCTAGCGGAAATGATTACAGAGATATAGGGTGTGAAAAATCGTCATTTTTCAACTTTAGGATTTTTTTTGTCGAAACTATTCATTATTGGTCAAAACGGCTTACATATCCCTATCTCAACTTTTGATTAACTATCTACTGATATTTAATTGGGACATATACCGGGTGATCAAGATTCTGAATTCTGCACCACCCTGTATTATCGATCAAATCGGCTTACATGTCCCTATCTCAACTTTTGATTCACTATCTACTGGAATTTAATTGGAAAAAATACAGGGTGCTCCAAGATTCAGAATTCTGATCACCCTGTATCTGTTCCAATCAAATGTCAGTAGATAGTGAATCGATAATGAATAGTTTCGACATAAAAAAAATCCTAAAATTGAAAAATCTCGATTTTGAACACCCTATATCTCTGTAATCATCCCTGCTAGACCCCAAGTGTGATACATTGATGAAATCAGCTCTTCAGGAAGAATCTAAAAATGCAATAAAATACAGGGTGTTCCATTTGAAATAACAAAGTTGCTAGTTGTTTCTGATAGAAGTGGCAACACTGTATCGATGAGAATATTTTAGACGGATAGAGAATGTTCAATTATCAAAGCATCCCAATTTTCAGAATGTTCTGTCTTTTCGTTCTCCAGATACTTCTAATATGCCATCCACCGTGGATCACCCTGTATATACATTTTTTTTTGTTCATAATTAAATCTGAGAATATTCTCTTTCAATATTAAATAACAATTTTTTATCTGAAATCCAATATCTTCATAGTTTTGAATTCAAATAGAACTTGAAATGAGTTTAGTTAAATATGATGCACTATTGAAAAGGAATATACTCAGATAAAATTATGAACATAAAAAATGGATAAATTGTTATATATAAAGAAATACAATGGGAATTCGCATTCTCTATGTGATGAAAATATCAATTCTTTCTCGGTTTATTCAACAGAAAACAACCACTTTCCTGGCTATGTGCCACGACGAACATTGAATTATATCTATTGAACACACACGAAAAGAATTTGAAAACAAAATCATCTGAAGTGATATAATTAAAATGCTCGTCGTGGCATATAGCCAGGAAAACAGTTGTTTTCTGTTGAATAAACCGAGAAAGAATTGATATTTTCTTCACATATATTTATAGAGGGTGACATTGAAAAAAGTACAAATATTTCAAACACTGAGAAAGCTAGACGTGTACTATCCAATGACACTAATAAAAACATGTAGAGATTCAACTTAAATTTGAGGTTAGAACTCTTTTTCCACCCAAAGTTCTACACTATAGCAAATCTGACGTCACCTCTGTTCAAAGGACCCCGCACTAAACTATAGGGAAAATGGCTCTCGATGAAAATCGCTGAATTTTTGGTATGTTTCAGACTTTGATATACTGAACAGATCTTCCATTGAACTAACCTCAACAAATGGACAGTTTTTTCGATATTGACCTCCAAATGTCAGTTTTCTCGAGAAAAAAAGTATCTCAAAAAGGTTGCGATTTTGGGCATGTTGTAGATAGGAATGAACTGATGAAAAAATCCTATCGACCTAACCTCCAAAAATTGACAGTTTTCTCGATATTGACCTCCAAATAAAATTTTTTCAAGAAAAAAAATCTCTGAAACTGGCTGAATTTCTGGTATGTTGTAAATAGGAATGAACTGATGAAAAAATCCTATCGACCTAACCTCCAAAAATTACAGTTTTCTCGATATTGACCTCCAAATAAAATTTTTTCAAGAAAAAAAATCTCTGAAACTGGCTGAATTTCTGGTATGTTGTAGATAGGAATGAACTGATGAAAAAATCCAATTGACCTAACCTCAAAAAATTGACAGTTTTCTCGATATTGACCTCCAAATAGAATTTTTTCAAGCCGGTAATTCCGATGCAGTGTTGAAAAGCCTACATATTATTTTTGCCGGAAATATGAATTGGAGCAATCAATTGCATGCAATGAAATATTGTAAACTGTAAAGCGGCTCTTACAAAATTTTGTTTTCCGCGTGTGGTGCTTCACGGTTGTCAGTTGTCAGATGCCATGGGATATTTCATTTTAAACTAGTTTAAATTGAAAGTAATAATGCGATTTGTTCCCATTTGATAAATTTTGAATTAATTCACGACTTATGGACTTAATTCCTGCCAACCCTTTTTTTTTATCCAAAAACATGATGCATGTCTTTACAATAGAAGTTGATTCTACTTGTTAATAAGATTCAATACTAATATTTCAAGAACATTAAAAACATTAATTAACAATGTATCTATGGTTCAAAATAAATTTATGAAATTTTCACTAGAATTTCAGATTACTAGAATAGAAAATCACCTGTTATTTTGTACCTAGTGATAGTAATGAAATGATAATAAGTGTATGTATGGGTTTGTTGCAGAAAAAATTGAGCAAATTATAACATTCTCTGAGGTGGAAAATTAGGAAGGCTCTTTGTTTCTCTTTTCAGATAAAAAAATTAAATATACCCTGCTCAACTGAATAAGTGTTACTTTGATTTCTATAGCAGAGTATTAAGATTTAACAAAAGAAAAATTTAGCAAATGCTAAAGTTTTTATGTCAAAAAAGTAAAAGTATAGAGCTTATTATTTGCCCTTTCACTGGTTGATTAGTATCAGCATTTGATCCAAAAATAGCATGGTTAATAAAAACTAAAAATTATGATTTATTTGAGATCAAAATTGGTTTACCAATATTTGATTGATCAAAACTATTCTGCAGATTAATGTCCATACAACAATATTCACTAGGATTCCAGATTAATAGAAAAAAAATTACCTGTGTTGATATTTTGATATACACAGTGCATTGTCAATACATACAGGGTTCCAACTATTTCCTAGAAACAGTATTGCTATTTCCTAAAGGGTAAGTGATAGAAAACTGATCCAATTAGACAAAAGTTGCATAATTTTAACCTCTTCAATATGATGGTTTACATTTTAAAGAAACTTCAACCATTCCTGAAATATTTGGAAAAAACTGAAAATCACTGATTTTTTTTCATTCATTTTAGGAGATTGATCATCATTAGTTAGAGATTTATCATGCAACTTTTGTTCTTCTTATGGGATCCATATTTGTTTTTTGTACCATTGAGGCATTGAATAGGGCTAAAAATTCCCTTCACAGCCACATGAAACAGAGGCAGAAAACAGTGAAAACCATCATTTTCTGGTCATCACTGCTTAAAAATTGAACTGCCCAACATATTCAAGTGTGGTGTGGTGTTTCTAATAATTGACAGATATTATTCAATTTTCTGTGAGATTGGCCAGGAAACTAGTTGTTTTCTGTAGATACTCCAACAATGATTTTCATATTTATCAAGTAAATTACCTGGTATTTTGTACCTAGTGATAGCAGTGAAATAATAAGATAAGACCAACAGTATTACAGTTTTATATTCTATTTATGAGATGAACACATAATTATCACTAACTACTATAATAACATCAATTCCTCAAATTGCAAATATATAGGAAAGAATAAACAAATTAAACTGGAGCAACAGTGTTGGAAAAACTTAGTCAAACTCACCAAATAGTGGCTATAACCATAATGAAAAGAGGTACTTACATCCTGTGTCTTTCAGTCTCTGAATCAAAGAATTCACAATGCGTACACAACCAAGGAACCCACTACCTTGCTTTTTATGCACCTTTCGATGATTCCAAACTGAAATAGTAACATTATCATTCTTACTGATGTATAAGTCATAATGGGAATTCCATTTTGGGTCTAAAGTATTTTTAACTGTTTCTGTGGAGTGGCATTGCCCACTACCATCCACAGATATCTTTGCAAAAGGGTCTGGCAGCCCTAAAACATTGAAAAATAGGAGATGATTCAAAAATCTTCAACCATAACTTTGGCATTTGCCAAGAATTTTACTCACGGAACAGATCCTTCCTAACTAAGTTTCTTGCACACAATACTGAAAAATAAATATGTTGTTTACAAATTTAATGCATGAGTATTATTTAATTATCATTGGGAGGTCTTTAATGAGGCCATATTGCTTGACAGCTCACACATCCCATGAATGTATTGTAATGAATCATGAATATTTTTACTTTGTTTACTCACTTGTCAGTCTGATTTTTTGAGCACCATTTCGACGATTCAAAGGTGCGTTGGACATGTTTGAAGATTATTTATTTATATTTCTTATTATTGTCTGCATAACAAGACACGTTTATTCAACTTCAACACCATTTTAATCAATCACTTCAGAGCACAGAACACTAAATTTGAACAAAGATAAACGACAAAGTGACAATGACAGTATTGACAAATCTTTTGTCAGAACTCCAACACTTGTCAGCTGAGCTCAGCAGCTCGATTTCATCTCTCATTTCATTAGCATTAAGCGGCGTTCACAACCAAACTTTTTACGTTTTGCTTTTAACGTTTCGTATTCTGATTGGTGAAGCAAACTCTGTAATTGAAATGACGCAAAAAGCTGAAAATATTCAGCTTTTTGCGTTGCAAGAAGCTATCATCTGTGGAAATAGTTAAAATGGACTGATGATATTGTTATAAAAATGGAGAATACTACCATAGATACTACTGTTAGTTCATATTCGAATAGAACAATACATGTATGGAACATTCTATCATAATATGGAAGTTATGATCATGTTTTTGCTCGATTTTTTCGTGAATCCACGGAATAGTAGATAGGTACACTGTTCAATTTATCATTTTCTCGTTGTTGTGTTGATTATTTACTTCATTTCAGGATAAAACACAAAAGACAAGGCAACTGAGAAGAGCCGTAAAATGTCACGTTGATTTTTGTTGTTGTGTACATTTGCATAATTCTAAAACACGTTTAATTTCAGATTCTGCTCCACCTATCAGAATACGAAACGTAAAAAGCAAAACGTAAAAAGCAAAACGTAAAAAGTTTGGTTGTGACCGACGCTTTAGGCCTCTGTTCGTTTGTGTTTTCGGTACCTGTTAAACTCGATTTCTTTATGACTCTCTCTGTTTTATGCCATGTACACAAACGAATAGCAAACAAACGAACTACCTATGACTGTCAGGAGTACGAGTGAAGAATGTCAACATTGGAAATTGGAACATTGTCAACAAAAACAAAGATACTGTATATTTTGTCGGTGTATTTTAGAAAATTTTGAAACTGATAAGTATTTGAAATATGTGAACATTGCTCCTATGAATTTCGAATTCAGAAAAGAACAAGAAAGCAGCTCCAGTTTTCTGCAATGACGTTATATTCAGAAAATCCAGTGATTTTCCCAGAACCTGGTTCAATATCAGTGAATGGAATTTGGCATTCTCTTCAACCTCTTCTAGCAGTTGCTAGCTTTTCCCAAGATAAAGGAGGGTTCGTCATAATTTTTGATGAACTGGTACAGTCTATTATACACATTCACATTCACCCAAAAACTCCAGATGGTATCTAATTTTAGGGTGACTCACTGAAAGACCTAAATTATCCCATACACAGAAGTTATCAAGTTACTGCCCTTACATGGCACCCAGAAAAAACCATTTTGGTCACCGGCTGGGAAAATGGAGACCTCAAAGTTTGGAGCAGTCCAGAAAAGGAGTTCATCAATGTTGTTGGTCCCCACAAGGCACCTATAACCTTACTTGAATTTAGTGAAAAAGGTGGCAGATTAGTTTCTTGTGATTCAGTAAGTGTCTCCACTAACATATTCAATACTGCATGCTAAAAAAAAAAAAATCATGGTGTACCACAAGGATCTGTACTAGGCCCAGTCTTGATAAATCATCTATACAATTCTACATTTGACATGTTTAGGCAGGTTCAGTTGTGGGATGGAAGGTGGATGGCAAAGGTGATACCAACTTGACATTTCACTTGGACTTGAAGGAATCTGTGACTCATTTGACATTCCGGCTAACTGTCAAAAATAACCTTGACTATGACGTGGAAGGTCTCGCTAGGGCTGCCGTTAATGGTGATGAGCATGCCCTTGACATGTTTAGCAACTGGAGGCCCAAAACTACAGCAAGGAAGTTCAAAGTCCATGATGGGGCTGATAATTTGAATTTGTTTGTTGCTACTCAAGCCGGTAGGATTTTTCATATTCTGAATAAATTGTTTCAGGTATTGCATTTTATTTGTCCTCATGTACAGTTTTATATTGATTGTATTGGCCAAGGTATTGGCTATTTTGAAAGCAAATACTACATTTGTTGCAGTATTGGATATTTTTTTCAGTTCACACTGTATTTTGAAAGAAATACCTATTTTGTCTGACATTCATAATAATCGGAAATAACCCATCTTTCAAATGTTCCTAATTCATTGGTCATTTTTCAATTCATTCATAACATACACTGCTCAACAAAAGTCTCTACAAAAGTAGTGCATTTCTGATTTTGTTGTGCAGTGTATTTATGGGTTCATTGCAGCAAAAATTCAGCAAATTGAAAACAATCTCCGACGTGGAAACGTAGGATATACCTTGCTCAACCAAATAAGTGTTACCCTGATTTCTATGAGCAGTGTATTTAGATCTAACAAAGGAAACGTTGGGCTAATATCTAACATTTTTTATAATATAAATGTAAGAATACTGCTCCAATATGGTATCTTTAAACAGAGAAATGTACACTGCTCAACAAAAGTGCTGTTTACCTGATTTCTTTGAGCAGTGTATTTGGATTTATTGCAAGAATATTGAAGCAAATCATATCTCGATCTCTGCATGTAGGGGATGAAAGAATACGCTTCACCGTTACCCCCGATATACTCGGCGGTAACAGCTTTACACAGTGAAATATACACTGCTCAACGAAATAAGTGCATATCTATATAGGTAACTTCTTTGTGCAGTAGATTTGGAGAACTTGCAGGTACAATTGAAGAAATAATCAGCTCTGTTTGTCCAAAACATGTGAAAACTTTCTCATATCTGTGCCAATATCCTCTTCATAGAATGTAATATACACTGCTCAACAATATCAAAGCAAATTTCAACGCTGTACATGTCAAAAATAAAAATATCACTCATATCCTCTCCCGAGAGGGAAGTATACACTGCTCAACAAAAGTAAGGCGCCCTATCAGGCGATGCAAATATACACTGCTCAATAAACATGATGCATCCCCAATTTTGAGCAGTGCCTTTGGAATTATTTCAGGGTCGATATACTACATCAACAATAATGGCAGCTGTGAGGAAGTCTTGAACACTCAAGGCATTTCTCTGTCCTGCATTTTACACCACCCATCCAAAGACTCGATAATCGTCATGATGGATAGCTTTACGATCGGCCATTTTTCCGTGGATTTTCAAGGACATTTAACAGAAATAGCGAGAGTCAAACTCAGTGGTAGAATGCAGGCTCGGATGGTAGGAAGCCAAGGACTAGTATGGGCTACACACAATAATCTAGCTGTTTTGACAGGTAGCAGAGTTGTTGTTTTGCTGTTTTGTTTTGAAAAATCATGATTTTTTCCTACTCTTGTGAATAAGCGAGGGGTAAACCGCGGTCGAAATTGTGTACACCAAACTTCAATTTCACAAGGAATTCCACGGAATTCCAGTTGTTTGTAGCATTCCAGCCAAGGAATTCCGGGGAATTCCAAGGAAATCCAAGAAAAACCAAGGAAATTCAAGGAATTCCTAGGCATTTCAAGGAATTCCAGTTGTTTGTAGCCTAGGAATATACCACATTTCACCCAAGGAATTCTGAAGAATTCCAAAGAAACCCAAAGAATTCCAAGGAAATCCAAAGAATTCAAAGGAAATCCAAGGAATTTCATCCAAGGAATTCCGGGGAATTCCAAGGGAATCCAAGGAATTCCAATGCAATCCAAATAATTCCAACGAAATCCGAGGAATTCCTAGGAATTCCAAGGAATTCCAGTTGTTTGTACACCAGAATTATACCGCACTTCAGTCAAAGAATTCCAAGGAAATCTAAGGAATTCCAAGGAAATCCAAAGAATTCCATGGAAATCCAAAGAATTCCAAGGAATTCCAAGGATATCCAAGAAATTCCAGTTGTTTGTAGCCCAGGAATATACCGCATTTCACCCAAGGAATTCCAGGGAATACCAAGGAAATCCAAGGAATTCCATGGATATCCAAGGAATTTTTGTTGTTGGTACACCAGAATTCCACCGCGGTTCACCCCTCGTGAATAAGGAATGTTAATCTTGATCAACGAATATTTTAGGGGATTTGATTGTGCGTATATGGGACATACAAACGAATGACAACTATGTTCTACCGACTTCGATGAAGTTTTATGATAGTGATGTTAAAAATAATTCGGTGAACGAGATTTTTACATGCATAGCTTATTGCAACTCTAACCAAACGTTATGTGCTGGCACCAATATAGGAAGGTAAGGAATAGAAGATAGAACTGAGAAAATAAGTCCTTGGCAATAACAAAATGGTCTAAAAAATACCAGATAATGTAGCAGTAATGTATTGGGTGATAAGTCCGTTTTTTCTAGCCGACTAGACAAAAAATACAATAAGCGGCACGATAAAACATTTCATTTGGGGTACATTGTTATTCAGAATGCCTTTTTTTTTTGAGAAAGGTATCTGCAATCATGAAGTTAAAACTATGAAATTAGGATCGAAATCTTGACTTCATTGGCGTACCATTCGATTTCTGAAGGGGTGAAAAATAAAAACAGAAATGTGATTCTGACATTTCATTAAATTCGTCCATGAAAATGAAATTGCTAGTTCAGTGGCGTGCCAGATTTTTTTTCTAAGGGTATTCAGAACCCAAAAGATGAAGTTTCTCAATTTTGTTCAACATAGACCGTCTGATTATGATTCAGGATATATTTTTGGACGAAAAAACAGAACGTGGACGAAATAGACAACCCTGAAGACAGCTGGGAACTAACCAACGTAAATACAATAAGCGGCACGATAAAACAACTCATGTGGGGCACAATGTTGTTCAGAATGCCGCTCTTGAGCGTCAATTGCGTCACTTCCGTTTTCATAATGAAAGAACAGAGCATATGCAACGGTTTCAACGAGAGAATTTGGGCCACCCAGAAAAACACCACCCAAGTTTTGGTCGAGAGCGAAAATTCAAATCGTTTAATGGATTTGGAGTCACAGGTGAACGATATGGCCGTTTCGGACAGTTTGATGGTTTTCACCAACAGCAGAAGTATTTTTATATACGAGGTTGCTTGGAACAGTTCCAGTACTGCAACAACTCAGAAAGGTAGGTGCCTGAGAATAATTGTTATTCATTTCAAGCGAAATATTTAATTTTTCTCGAGACACCCTGTATATTTTTGCAGCTGACGCAGACCCGGAGTTCTCCCTCAAACAACTCACAAGCTTCAATCACGACAACGACGGTATAACCTTGTACGACAAGACGATAATATCCATAAATTCCAAAGCGGTAACTCTGCACACTTCCGGTGGTTCTCTTTTGTTCACCATCACTTCCGGTTTGGGCGAGGGCGAACCGATCGGGATGCACGTGACCGGAAGTTATTTGACCGTCTTCACCATGGACGGCTACCTGAAGATGTACGACGTTTCGGAACATCAACCCAAGATGCTGGGCCCCATCAGGAATCTGTACGATATGGTCGGGGATTTCGGAGAGATTGTCCAAGCGAAAATAAACGCCAATGGCACAAAGGTAAACAAGATTTTCAAATTTTTTAAAGGGAAAGAAGAACGAGGATGGAGAAAAAGTGTGGGAGGGAGAGAGAGACAATCAGAGTCGGTTACAGATAGATGCAGATAGATACAGACAGAAACTCATACAGACAGACGCAGACAGATACAGACAGACAGAGAGAGAGAGAGAGAGAGAGAGAGAGAGAGAGAGAGGATGTTTTTTAATTTTTGTATGAGGGCCACAAATAAAACGAGATTGGAGGAATTGGATTTATTGAGTCAAGATCACGACTACATGGGTGTACCCATTAATTTTTCGAAAGAGGTCTCAAACCGAAAAATCAATTGTTTTTTTGAAGGAGTTGAATATGAGAGATCTGAAATTTCGAAATATAAATCATATAAAAAAAAACGGTAGGAATTGGAATTTCAGCTGCGTTTTTATTTTTTTTCACAGGAGGTCCGAAATAAAAAGTTATAATTTATATAAATGTAAATAAAAAATATTGGAATCTCGAATTGAAAAAAATATACAGGGTGTCTGTAAAAGGTTGGAACATGGCTCGGCTGTGGACTCCTGGAATAAAAACAAGTTGATTTAGGCCAACTTACCTATATCCAAAGTTGTCTCGTTGCGTTGGCACAATGCGTTGAATTTTTTTTTTTTGAAAAAAACAATTTTGCTCATGAAAAGAGTAGGCTGCGATTGATTTTCATAATTTTAGGCATGGCATGTTCTGTGACTGTAAGTCACGTTTTCAGTTGTTTTTGATCATCATCAGTGACCTGCAAGTGATCCAAACAACCATGTTGCCGTCCAAATTTGGTGATAACCTTTCAGAGGTCGGACTGGAAACTTCCAGTTTTTTTCCAGAAAGATATTCTTTTCAGAGATATTTTTTGAATCGTGTTGATTTTTGAAAAGTCTCGAGGTTCATTTGCAATAAAATAATTTCTGATATGATGCATCCTGCGCATTTTTGAAGATTAATTTAATTTTTCGGACTGTTTATTGATCATGGCTACAATGTATTTTTATTGTAAACAAACTGATATGTTGCTGGTCCTCGCGGGCTTTACAAGAAATCTCGCGTTACAAATTTAGCGATAACAGGACCTAAGATGAGTACTTTAACGCCTTGTACCAACTCAAAGAAACGATTTCGGATATAGGTAAGTTGGCCTAAATCAACTTGTTTTTATCCCAGGAGTCCACAACCTTTTACAGTCACCCTGTATACACTTAGGTGGCCATGACCCTGGCAGGATCAAATCTGATCCCAGATGGAAAACTGTACATTTGGGACATCGAAAAAGACGATATGGTAGAATACGATTTTCGAAAATACGACACGGACGAGTATGACGTCAGAGAGCATAGCGTCAAAATTGACGACAGCGGACGTGAAATCGAAGAAATCAAATCCGATTTCGACGAGATTTGTCGAAATAGAGTACCCATCGATTTCTACTGGGACAATTGTGATCCCAGATTGTTGGTTTGCAGTGCCAAAAAACTGAGAATGCCCGGTGCTAAGAAAGGATTTTTCGGAAGATCTAAATCTACAACAGGTAAGATATAATTATATAATAATAATAATAATAATAAATTGCCTTTATTTAGCCTGGCGGAGTTTAGCAAAGCTACTCTTCCACTCTACCAGATTAGAAATGTGGGATACATTATTGCTCCTAACTTATTACAAATTACAAAATATACAGGGTGTTTCATTACTAATTGGAAATATTTCAACCATAGAGTCCCGAACTCAAAATATGAAGATTCAACCCAAATCACTCAGATAAAATATGTCTCCTGTCTGAGTTACAGGGTGTTTTATTCAAAAATTTTGAAATGTTTTTGCCCAGTTCTTCAAAACCATTTGACGTATCACTTTCATATTTGGAGGGACGTGTAGGTATTATACATCCAACTGAATTATGTGAAATAAACTTTTCCAGCTATTACCAGAGGCGTACGACAGGGGCAATTTTACGCCATTGGCGGAATTGCAATTCTATCAGAATTTTTCGATTTTTCATTACCTTCTTCGTAAATATTGTACTCTTTCTTCATAGCGATGAAGTCACTATTTTTCGAGATATTTCAAGTTAAACATGAAGCAGCACAATCATTTTGGTTTTCATGTGTATCAATAATGTCGATATTTTGGATCAATGGACTGCATTCATCAATCAAATGAAACTTCAATCCATATTAACATAAAAACATAACAGACGGGAGCTGTTACAGGGCGTTTTAAATTCCTTGATATATTACATAATTAAACACCCTGTAACAGCTCCTGTCTGTTATGTAATTATGTTTTTATTGTTAATATGGGTTGGAGTTTCATTTTATTGATCCAAAATATTGACAAAATGAATGCACATTGAAATCAAAATGATTGTACAGATTTATGTTCAACTTGAAATATCTCGAAAATAATGACTTTATCGCCATGGAGCGAAAGTATAATATCTACGTCAAAATAGTTGGAGAATCGAAAATTTGTGATAGAATTGCAATTCCGCCAGTGGCGTAGAATTTATTGTTTGGTTGAACACAGATTATACACAGATTAAACACGTGAGGAATTTAATATGAAATCACACTTGTACATGAAAATTATAGAAATATCAGGAGATCAATAATTCACCGAGTTGACATACGTATAACATATTATGTGACATATATTATACAGGGTGTTCCGGTGTATATTCTCTTGACACGACCAATATACAGAGAGATTTAGTTTGAAATAGGATTGATACTTCAACACCCTCTCCCAATTCTATGTTACATCATTTGAACATTTTCCAAAAAATTCTCTAACATATTGAACAAAAACATGTCGTTCAAAACCTACTCAGATAACATCTTAACAGTTTAAAGTTTGGGAATTGAACATTTTTTGAAATTATATATTGTATTCCATAGTTGATACAATTTTCAATATTGTTAAATTTGAATTTAGATAAATTCCAATCCCATTTCCCCGTATTGCGTATGTCACACACACTGTATAACGTGTTTTCCAGAAGAAAAAAAGAGCCTCACTGACGAAGATCACGTGATCGTGACGATGTTCATCTCGCCAGAAAATTCGATAAGAATCCATTACGTCAGAGCTGTGGATGGTGATGCTAAATTGTTAGCTTGTGCCACCCCGTATGTGGCAACGTTGCAAAAATTGAGCATCGTTAGAGAAGTGATGAACGATTTTATCGGTTTGGAAAAGTGCGATAGAAATACCAGGAGTGCCGTATTGGACTTTAGCTTCAACTTGACTATCGGTGAGTGTACAGGGTTGGCAATTTGAATTAACAAAAGAATATATTTTAAGCAACTAGATTCAAAATTAACTTGAAAAAATACTTTGACTTTGATAATTCCATTTCTTATTTGAATACCTACTTATAAAAGACAAGGTTGATATTGCATTATTATTTGCTTTTTTTTTGTTTACTTGTTATAACCTTCATTATTTCATAATTGTATGTATAAAATTATGAATATTGTTTATACAGGGTGTGCCTTAATGATATGCTAATATTCAAAGGGCCGAGTCTTCGATACATTTCAAGAATAAAACTTCATATGAACGTATCCCAGCGAGCACAAAAACATCTCAGAGATGTTAAAAGTACGAGATTTCGAGACATTGAACCTCCACTGCGATGTTCTGTTCACACATGAATAGAACTATTATAGAACAGCCAATGTCCGCCGCAGGCGGCAATTATCGAGATGTCCTTGATATGTCACAAAACTACCTTCTCCCTAGTTCTTTTTAAAGCCTTTTCATGGACACAACAAAACATTTTCAACGCGTCTTGCGCACATTAAATCGCTGTAAAAAAACATTTTCGAGGTACTTTTCTGAAGCCTTTTGTCAAAATGAACTTTTGCATTAGGATTCCATTTCCCTCGAATAAAAAAATGCATTAAAAATAGATTGAACATAAAAATATTTTCTTGATATGAAATTACCTTCTTAATCGGTTTCTGAGTAGTGCTTACTACACACAGACATATAATTGGAAATAGGTTTCCCAATTTTTGAAATGTTCTCCACAATGCATAATTTTGCAACTGCGGAGAAGCTGTGTATTGATAAATTCGTACTTTTATATATTGATTACACTGAGGCACCGAACAACACATCTTGCATCTGATGGTCATTATTACAAACAAAATAAGTCTTCTAACACAATAAACTTCACCAATTTCCTTTCTGTTCGTTAGCAGCGTGATGTAAGCGTGACACGCTGCAAACGCGAATGCCAATTGCGAACAAGAAGAACAAAATCGAAAACAAATCAGAATTCATCGTATTGTGACGTAAGCATGAGACGTTGTGGTGGGGCAAACAAAGAAAGTGCACAAAAGAACAAAAACAATACTTTCAATATCCTTCTAAGACCTCTTTGGGAAGTGCATATTACGCCTCAAAAAACATCCTCATGCCTACATTTCTAAAACATCCCAAAACATCCCAGGGATACCTCTCAGTAGGCGAACAAAGAAATGCCACAGAAGAACAAAAACAATACTCCAATATCCTTCGAAGACCTCTTTGGTTAGTGCATATTACGTCTCAAAATAACATCTTCATGCCAACATTTTCAAAACATTCCAAAACATCCCAGGGATGTTTGTGCTCGCTGGGATGTTCATTTAATTATCACCCTGTAGCCATGATATCTGAAATCAAAGAGGTTTCATATTGCCACAACTAACTGTCAAGAGATTCGGCTATTCATCGGTGAAAACCGATTTCAAATTGGTAGGGAAATCAGTGAGTTATTCTATTTTGAATTCAGGCCATATTTTGGACCACGACGTTCTCAGTTTATTCGAAAAATGATGATGCCTCTATGTTAAATTATTGAAGTGTTATCGAAAAAATCCGACAATAATATTTTTTCGTCGGTGATGAAATGTCTGACCTTGAACTAGGCAACATGGACGCTGCCTTCAAGGCCATCAAACTGGTCGAGAGCGTCGGCGTATGGGGCAATCTAGCACGCATGTGCGTCAAGACGCGTCGTCTCGACGTCGCAGGTGTCTGTCTCGGTCACATGGGCGACGCGAAGGCCGCCAGAGCGCTGAGGATGGCCGTCGGGGACGAAACGTTGTCGCTGCAGGCCAAGGTCGCCGTTCTGGCCGTCCATCTTGGTATGCTGGTGAGTCATATAAAGTGCTAAAAAAAAACGAGTGCACCATGGAAATATTTGTCAATTTTCAAATCGCCATATTTCTTTAGAAAATGAATGGATTATCAATCGGAATGCAGTGCTTGGAAAATGCGATCTTTCTGTTCCAGATTCCCCGTTCAAAACTCGTCGGGAGAATTCGAACGCTTCCGAATTCCAGGATATTTTTTATTTCTATCTTTTCAGTTTAGAGATTAAATTTTTGTTTCTGACCGTTGGGTCGCAATTTTGCTATCTTTATCATTAATGACTCTCTAAAAAAATAGATCCGACCCTGACGACGCGATTGCAAAAATCCATCGTGTATCCAGCCCTCTCAAGTCATTTTTTTTCTTCAATAGGACGATGCTGAACAACTATACGTCCAATGTAATCGCCACGACCTGCAAAACAAACTGTTGCGCAGCAGAAACAAGATGGACGCTGCCCATGCAGTAGCCGAATCGAAAGACAGAATAAACTTGCGCAATACCGATCATGCATGGGCCATATCTCTGGAACAACAAGGAGACTTCAAAGAGGTAAATTCGATCCATATTCCCAAAAAAATAAGGATAAAAGTAGGTATGAGGCCACTTTATACGACAGTAGGTATGGGGACACTTTGGACGATAATAGGTATGGGGTCACTTTAGGCGACAGTAGGTATGGGGACACCTTGGACGACAGTAGGTATGGGGACACTTTAGACGACAGTAGGTATGGGGACACTTTAGACGACAGTAGGTATGGGGACACTTTAGACGATAGTACGTATGGAATCACTTCAGACGACCGTAGGTATGGGGACTAGCTTGAAGAAACAAATATTTTCAGGCAGCTGCTCGTTATGAGAAAGCGAACACTCATCTCTACGACATTCCCAGGATGCTCAGCGACCATCCGCTGCAATTACAGGCGTACATGTCGAAAACCAAAGATAAGTGAGTAGAAAAATGGCCAAAATGAAAAAAGAGTCGAGAATATAAGTCTTCATTGGTCACAATGGATCACGTGTTACATATTACGAACGCTCCTGCCAGGTTATTCACAACGAATGATGATTTCATTCATGTATAAGAAAACTCATATGCTGCTGGGATTTTGTCATGATCACAGCGAATAAAGTTAACTTTTCCAGCGACAATCATGTATAAAAAATCTCATCACGCCGCTGTGATTTTGTCATTATGATAGTGATAAAACTTTGCCCTATAAGTTTTCCAGTGACAAAACGGAACTCAAAATTTGAAACTATGACAACCAGAATTGTGAACGATTCTTGATGGCATTTATGTAAATATTTCTCAATCTTGCGATCTCAGAAAAGTATCTAACCTGTGGAATGCCGTTATTTGGAGAGTCTGTGAGTGAAGAAATTAGAAAAACTATCAACAGTAGTGTGATTCATATATCCATTAAATTGACTTACCGAATTTCACTCGAGCATTATTTTTGGGTCGAAGTGAACTTGAAATATATAATTCGAGTTTCATTGCCTTTAGGAAACTCAGCTCAAAAAACTACCAGGAGGAAATTTTTCGTTCAATTTCCAGGAAATTAAATTCTCATTGAAATGTCAAGTTTACTTCGACAAAAAATGCTTGTGTGATTATGAGAGAAACATATTTGATGAAAAATATCAACTATATTCAGATCATTTTACTAAATCCTTCTCAATCTGCTTAGATTTTGTGAAAAAACACTGTTGGTTTCTATAATTCGATAGAAAATACAAGAACAAAGATTTTACCTACTCTGGATTATTGGTCGACAATAATAATTAGTTGATAATTCTCGAAAAAAAATCCCCCTGTCTCTGTGTTGAATTATTTTATATTATTGAAGAATTTTCGGAACATAAGCTCTTGAAAATGTAGCTTAAAAAAAGGTAATAAATCACTTGACTCATTATTGTGACCAATGAGGACTGCGAATACATTTTTCGATCTTTTTTCGATTTTTAGGGAGCTCATGAAGTGGTGGGGACAATATATCGAGTCACAAGGCGACATGTCATCCGCTCTCAAAATCTATGCCAATTGCGGTGACGTTTATTCGCAAGTTCGCGTTCTGTGCTTCTTGGGCAAAGAGGCCTTAGCTGCGGACTTGGCTAGAACTAACACCGACAAGGCTGCATTTTATCACATGGCAAGGTGAATGAATGAGAAAAAAATCGTATAGTTCAGTATGTAATATACTATTTCCGTCGACCTCGTATTAACGAGTGAGTTTAATGATTCTGAAATTAATCGTTAACCCTCATTAATTATCAATTTGTATATCAATGCAAGATTGTAGCATCAGCAACCAAACATATACCGCGTCCATTCACTGTTCATGCTATAACTTACGTAATCTGTATTCAGGTCAAAAATATTGATTCAATAATGATAATGATAATAATAATGTTTATTGAAGTAATATAAGCAATATGTATAACAAATTCATCGCGAAACAATGTAAAGTTATACTACTCCAAAAGGACAGAATATTAGCAAGGCCATTATTCACTTCTGCCTGCAAAATTATAATAAAACAACATAATGAATAAATATAAACTAAATATCGACATATACACTACATACTACATTACTACATAATATATAAAAAAATGACTGATTAACATAATAAACAATAATGAACACCGTAAAATACGTTGGGTCACTCAGCAATAATAATATGTAATCAATAATTATACCCACTAGGTGAGATCTGTGCCTATATTCTTACGATACCCTGTTTTAAATTTATTCAACGAGTCTAGAATGAAATATTCTTTGAGTGAGTTGTACATCGATGGAGCAATATATGGTTAAAAGTTCTGAAATTTTGATGTTTTGTGCCTTGGAACTATCATATCATCAGTATTCCTCAGATTGACAGCAATTTCTGGCCTTTTGATCAATAAGTCATACAAATAACCAGGTATTTTATTTCTGTAAACATTGTAAACGATTGAGCCATATAAAAGAGCAAACCTTTGTTCAATTTTCAAGATGTTCATGCTTACATACTACGGAGTTATATGATCACGCCGTTTTATATTATTGTTTGAATATCTCAAGCTATTATTCTGCAATATTTGTAGCATCTGCTTGAAACAATCATTCAAAAAATTATAGTAAACACTTGAACCATAATCGAGCTGACTGATGATTAGTATATTTACAAGATTTCATTTTGTTTCCTGCGGGAGTATGAATTTATATATCCACAATGATTTGAACTTGAAATAGCATACTTTCAGTTTTCCTAGGACATGTTTTTCGAAGGTTAATGTTTCATCAATAACCATACCAAGATTTTCCGCAGCTCAGATTGACAACAGTATCGTTCATCATTATATTACAGGTTTGTGTCGATTTAGCTCTGGCCACCATAAAGGACCGGGGTTCGAATCTCGTGGCAGTCGTCTTTTTCTCTCTTTCAAAATTGTTCGCTGGGCAGTTATGTAATATTTTACTTTACGCAACTGTTTACGTAAAGTAAGACGTTTCAAAATTCCTGTCAGTTTTGAAAATTGTCAAATTAATCGTCAAAATTGGAAAAATAAGTTTACATTCAGGTACACAGAGGCGGGATGCTGCACAAGGAAAAAGTTTCAAGACTACCTACCCTATTTGTTTTCCTGTAACAATGTAATTTGCCCTAAATTTTCCAGCGACAAATCGGAACCTTGAAACCTTGAAACATTTGAAACCATGACAACCAAAATTGCGAACGAAACTGATGACGTTTATATGAATTTGTCCCAAATTTGCGTTGTCACAAAAGTTTCTAATATGTGAGAATGTCACATTGAGGAACATCAACAATAATCTGATTTACGTATTCATTACTATTACCGAATTAAACTGAAGTATTTTTTTAGAATTCGAGTTTTGTGCCTTTAGGAAAGTTAACTCAAAAAACTGACAGAAAAAAGTCACTCGTATCCTACGGACTCGTGAGATTTTTGGAGGCAACTTTCTTCCAACTTTCCAGGCAACAAAAATGTCATTGAAATGTCAAGTTTACTTGAAAAAGAAAACAAATAATTACTTTTCATTTAGGTACTATGAGACGGTGGGAAACTTTGACGAAGCAGTCAACTTTTTCACAAAAGCCACAGCCTACTGCAACGCAGTACGGCTCTGCAAAGAAAACAACATGTCCGAAGAGCTGTGGAATTTGGGCATTGTCGTTTCCAAACGGGAAAAAATCGAATGCGCCAAATATTTCGAGCTACACGGTGACCTCGAAAAATCCGTCGTCCTGTATCACAGAGGCGGCATGCTGCACAAGGCCCTTGATTTGGCCTTCGAGACGCGTCAGTATGAGATCATACAGGATATAGCTACTCAGCTCGATGCCGGTTCTGATCCGGCGTTGGTTCAGAAATGTGCTGAGTACTTTATCGCTAACGAACAGTACGATAAAGCTGTGGATTTGTTGGCTATTGTTAAAAAGGTACAGTAGATTCATTTAGTTTCTTGGTTTCCTTCATTTCATCAATTCATTATTTTCATCATTTTATTATTCCATCATTTCATTCATCATCTTTCTTCATTTTATCATTCCTTCCTGTTTTTATTCGTTCACTTGTGTTTCTTCATTTATTCAACCTTGAAATATGATCTTGACCAAAATTCGTTTGTTTATAGAATGGCGAAGCTCTGTAATTCTTTGGCAATGGAAATATTCCAAAGAACTTATAATCCACAAATGTATTTACTTTTGCTTCATTTATTCAAATTTGCAATATTCAATTTCTATTCGGGGGAGTACAAATATTTCACGCCTAAAACCACTAATGAAATTAAAAAACAATCAATTGAATGTATTTTTCATCTACATTTTTTAGAACCATTGGTAAATATATTCGAACCTAGGCATTTTCTGAACCTGTATTCCTATTATAAACAGAAATGTTTCTTGGGGTAATAAAGACTACCAATCAATCAATTCCAATACCTACCTACTAGAATGGTGTTTCTAGTAGAAAATGATACGCTGAATCGAATGAGACCATGACCAGCCCAATAGGAGGAAGGAGGACAGATAGTTTTTGAGATATCGGCGCTCAAAGCCAGCTTTCCGATTTTATTGCCATTAGGAGCACTCCGGTAGGCCACTACGTCTCCATTTTCCAAAATTTCTTGATTTCCACCACAGATTCGTTCATAACGACACCGAATTAGTCTATGTGAATTTCTTCAGATTTTTAATAGGCCAAATAAAAATTTTCATTTCCTCACCTGAGACTTCAGTACGATATAGTCACCGAGCCATCTTCGGACGGCCGAAAGTGCCAGAAAACAGCAGAAATTCACGCGAATTATTGCTTTTCTAGTAGAAAATGACACGCTGAATCGAATGAGACCATGATCAGCCCGATAGGACAGATAGTTTTTGAGATATCGGCGCTCAAAGTCAGTTTTTCGATTTTATTATCAATAGGAGCACTCCGGTAAGCTACAACGTCTCCATTCCCCAAAATGTTTTGATTTCCACCACAGATTCATCGATTACGACACCGAATTAGTCTATGTGAATCTTTCCCGATTTTTAATAGGCCAAATAAAAATTTTCATTTCCCCACCTGAGACTTCAGTACGATATTGTCACCGAGTCATCTTCGGACGGCCGAAAGTGCCAGAAAACAGCAGAAATTCACGCAAATCATCGTTTTTCTAGTAGAAAGTGACACGCTGAATCGAATGAGACCATGACCAGCCCGATAGGACAGATAGTTTTTGAGATATCGGCGCTCAAAGCCAGCTTTCGGATTTTATTGCCATTAGGAGCACTCCGGTAGGCCAGTACGTCTCCATTTTCGAAATTTTTTTGATTTCCATAACAGATTCGTTGATTACGACACCGAATTAGTCTACGTGAATTTTTTCAGAATTTTAATAGGCCAAATGAAAATTTTCATTTTCCCACCTGAGACTTCAGTACGATATAGCCACCGAGCCATCTTCGGACGGCCGAAAGTGCCAGAAAACAGCAGAAATTCACGCTAATCATCGCTATTCTAGTAGAAAATGACACGCTGAATCAAATGAGACCATGATCAGCCCGATAGGACAGATATTTTTTGAGATATCGGTGCTCAAATTTAGTTTTCCGATTTTATTGCCAATAGGAGCGCTCCGGTAGGCTACTACGTCTCCATTTTCCAAAATGTCCCGATTTCCACTACAGATTCGTTCATTACGACACCGAATTAGTATATGTGGATTCTTTCGGTTTTTTATTAGGCCAAATAAAAATTTTCCCACCTAAGACTACCGTACGATATAGTCACCGAGCCATCTTCGGATGGCCAAAAGTGCCAGAAAACAGCAAAAATTCACGGAAATCATCGCATTTTCAGTAGAAAATTACACGCTGAATCGAATGAGACCATGATCAGCCCGATAGGGCGCTTTTATTGCCAATAGGAGCACTCCGGTAGGCTACTAAGTCTCCATTTCCCAGAATGTCCCGATTTCCACCACAGATTCGTTCATTACGTCACCGAATTAGTCTATGTGAATTTTTTCAGATTTTTAGTAGGCCAAATAAAAATGTTCATTTTCCCACCTGAGACTCCAGTACGATATAGTCACCGAGCCATCTTCGGACGGCCGAAAGTGTCAAAAAACAGCAGGAATTCACGCGAATTAGCGCTTTTCCAGTAGAAATTGACACGCTTAATCGAATGAGACTATTATCAGCCCTATAGGACAGATACTTTTTGAGATATCGGCGCTCAAAGTCAGCTCTTCGCTTTTATTGCCAATAGGAGAACTCCGGTAGGCTACTACGTCTTCATTTTCCAAAATGTCCCGATGCCCACCACAGATTCGTACATTAAGACACCGAATTAGTCCGATAGGACAGATAGTTTTTCGTATGGAAGTCTTGGGTGGCAAAATGAGAATTTTTATTTGGCCTATTAAAGATCTGAAAAAATTCACATAGACTAATTCGATATCGAAATGAACGAATCTGTGATGGAAATCGGGAAATTCTAGAAAATGGAGACGTACTAGTCTACCGGAGTGCTCCTATTGGCAAAAAAGCGAAAAGCTGACTTTGAGCGCCGATATCTCAAAAACTATCTGTCCTACGACACTGATTATAGTCTCATTCAAGTCAGCGGGTCATTTTCTACTAGAAAAGCGATAATTTGCGTGAATTTCTGTCGTTTTCTGGCGCTTTTGGCTGTCCGAAGATGGCTCGGTGACTATATCGTATGGAAGTCTTAGGTGGCAAAATGAGAATTTTTTATTTGGTCTATTAAAAATCTGAAAAAATTCACATAGACTAATTCGATATCGAAATGAACGAATCTGTGATGGAAATCGGGAAATTCTAGAAAATGGAGACGTACTAGTCTACCGGAGTGCTCCTATTGGCAAAAAAAGCGAAAAGCTGACTTTGAGCGCCGATATCTCAGAAACTATCTGTCCTACGACACTGATTATAGTCTCATTCAATTCAGCGGGTCATTTTCTACTGGAAAAGCGATAATTTGCGTGAATTTCTGCCGTTTTCTGGCGCTTTTGGCTGTCCGAAGATGGCTCGGTGACTATATCGTATGCAAGTCTTAGGTGGGAAAATGAAAATTTTTATTTGGCCTATTAAAAATCTGAAAAAATTCACATAGACTAATTTGATATCGAGTTGAACGAATCTGTGGTGAAAACCTGGAAATTTTGGAAAATGGAGACGTAGTAGTCTACCGGAGTGCTCCTATTGGCAAAAAAAGCGGAAAGCCTACTTTGAGCGCCGATATCTCAAAAAATATCTAACCTACGGGGCTGATTATGGTCTCATTCGATTCAGCAGGTCATTTTCTACTGAAAAACCGATAATTCGCGTGAATTTCTGCCGTTTTTTGGCACTTTCGGCCGTCCGAAGATGGCTCGGTGACTATATCGTATGGAAGTCTTAGGTGGGAAAATGAAAATTGCTATTTGGCCTATTAAAAATCTGAAAAAATTCACAAAGACTAACTCGATGTTGTAATGAACGAATCTGTGGTGAAAATAAGGAAATTCCGAGAATTGGAGACGTAGTAGTCTACCGGAGTGCTCCTATTGGCAAAAAAAGCGAAAAGCTGACTTTGAGCGCCGATATCTCAAAAACTATCTGTCCTACGGGGCTGATTATGGTCTCGTTCGATTCAGCAGGTCATTTTCTACTGGAGAAGCGATAATTCGCGTGAATTTCTGCCGTTTCCTGGCACTTTCGGCCGTCCGAAGATGGCTCGGTGGCTATATCGTATGGATATATATTAATTTTTCACAAACTTCACAGTGAGATGAACATCTCAATATAGAAAACTTTTCCATTTCAGTTCGTCGATGCCATCGAATTGTGCTTGAAGCACAACGTCCAATTGACCGAGGATTTGGCAGAAAAACTGACCCCCGAGAAAGAAACGGTCGACGAAAGCGTCCGAATCAACGTCCTGGAAAATTTGGCTGAGAGTCTGATGGTTCAAGGAGAGTATCATCTGGCTACGAAAAAATTCACCCAAGCTGGAGATAAAGTAATTCGATCGATTTACTTACTTTTTTACTTATCTTTGGACGTTTTGGGAACGAATCTGCTCCCGTCCTCAACATGAAAATGCACAATATTTTTCTTTGGAAGTTGTGCTCTGCTTATAGTTTGACACTTCTCAGTTGGCATATGAATGATTATATGGTATATGGCGTACCCTAGAAACTTTAGACCAGTGAATAATGGTTAATCACTGCTATTATTCACTGGTGTGAAAAATGGCTACCGTTCTGCTCAAATGTCTACTGGAAATATTTCGCGAAAATCCGTTTTTTTTTTGTTTCAGGTCAGAGCGATGAAGGCTCTCTTGAAATCCGGAGACACCGAAAAAATTATATTTTTTGCGGGCGTTTCTCGGCAAAGAGAAATATACATAATGGCCGCGAATTATTTGCAGTCTCTTGATTGGCAGAATCAGCCGGAAATTCTCCGACATATAATCACTTTTTATTCCAAAGGGAAGGCTCTGGAATTGTTGGCGAATTTTTATGTTGCTTGTGCACAGGTGAATACGTCTAACAAAATTAAATTATTGAACTGAAAAAAATTGTGGAAAATTCTACAGCGACAATTGTTGAACAGTGCAATTCAATTATTCATCGATAACAAATTTTTAGGTAGAAATTGATGAATTCCAAAACTATGAGAAGGCTTTTGGGGCTCTCACTGAATCATCGAGATGTTTACAAAAAATCGGGTCCGCGAAAGATCCCAAACAGATTCAGAGAGCCTCGGAGATAGTCGAGCAAAGACTGAAGATGGTGAAGAGATTCGTAGACATACGGCGGTTATTTGAAAGGGGAGATATACAGGCGGGTAAGCAAACAATTTTCAGAATTTATACTTTTTGCACGCATTGGCACTTTAAATTTCTCAAGGCATTTTTTGAATTGACTCGGCCGTTACTTGATGGAAAACCGTGGCAAATGTAAAAACTTCACAAACGATAAGCTTTCCACAGAATTATCAATCATACGTCATGTTTCGCTAACAACAATTAGTAGCTTCATCAGTTGAAATACTGGTACAATGAACAGTTCAATCGCAGATATTCAGCTGTCACGGTCATGGCTACTCTAGATTTCAATTAGAATTGAGAAGAAAAGTGCTTTCATAGTGACAATAGGTTCATATTTCAGTTCCACATAACTGAAATGATCAAAATGTATTGCTATAGTGTTGAAAAAAATTTTATATACACCTTGGTAGTGAAGCATATTTATTACCACATTTCGCCATCTTGGATGGTCCGCCATATTGGATTCAGAATGACGTCACATCATTTTTCGAGTTACTCCCAACGAGCCCTTTAATTTGATACCCATATTGTAAAAGTTCATTAAAAATAACTATTCCGCCATCTTGGATGCTTTGCCATATTGGATTTATAATAACTTCACACACTACCGTCTATGTCGCCCCCTGCACTTGGCTCACCCTGTAAGCTTGGGAACTTTTGGAATTTTTACTTCCTATCTATTCCGAACATATCTTCTAATAGACGGCGATATTGCACAAATATAACATCTGTCATTTTTGAAATTTCCGCAGATTTTTCGAATTTCGAGTGGAATAAACATTTACATATGTCCCGCGGTCCTAACATGCCGTTTGCCATTTTATTTTTACTTTTCACATTCGTCACAACAGCAACAAGGTTGGTAGAACTGATGATATATATACAGGCTGATTCACGGTGAATGAAACATTAGATGTTTATGGAGAACGCAACGTAGGATTATTTTGAAAATTTGGTTCTCTGGATAATTAGTTGTGTTCTATCGCCTTAAATATTCTCAGCGTTGCGACGTTGCCACTTATATTGAAAAGTCGCAACAACTTCGATTTTTTAAATGGGATACCCTGTATATCATTCCATTTTCAGATTCTGCCTGAAGAGCTGATTCTATCGATCCATAATACGTGATGGGGTCTAGCGGGAATGATAACAGAGATATAGGGTGTGAAAAATCGAGATTTTTCAACTTTAAGAACTTTTCGTGTCGAAACTATTCATAATTGGTCAAAACGGTTTTCATCTTAACTTTTCACGTATTCTCAATTGATATTTAATTGAACTAGATACAGAGTGGTCCAAAATCTTAATTCTGAACCACCCTGTATTTACTTCAATTAAATATCAATTGATATTGAATAAAATGTTGGAGTAGAAAAATCTCGATTTTTCACATCCCATAACTCTGTAATTATTACTGATATACCCCAAGTGTTATAGGTCAATGGAAGAAACTCTTCAGGAAGAATCTGAAAATGGAATAATATACAGGGTGTCTCATTTAGAAAATCAAAGTTGTTGCTACTTTTCAATATAAGTGGCAACGTCGCAACGCTGAGAATATTTTAGGTCGATAGAACACAACTAATTATTCAAGGCACCAACTTTTCAGAATAATCCTGAGTTGCGTTCTCCAGAAACGTCTAATGTGCCATCCACCGTGAATCAGCCTGTATAAAAAATAATCATCAGTTCTACCAACCTTGAGCAGCAGCAGCAGCAGCAGCTTCACCATCTAGCGGAAAGAAGTAGATTGAACGTCTCGCTCGATGTGACGTAGAGAAATCATAGTAAGCGGTCGGGTGATTTTACTTTCTTCTTTTCAATACGTAAAAATGGCCGAGTATGCACACCATCTACTCATTTCCATCATTATTCCGATGCATTAATCTGCGATTTCGTCTAAATTTCATCAAAATCAAAAGAATTGTAAAAATTACAGGGCGATCTAATTGGTAAAATTTTTCTCTGGCGGGATTTTTTTTGCGCTAAGTGATTGAAAGATTATCACTTGAGAGTTATAACCCATTTTGTTTTAGGGATTTCCCAATGTCAGCAACTTTTGACAGTGGGCGACGAACTAGAAGCGTCAGTACGACGAGGCGACATTTACGCCCTCATGATACAGAGTCACGTGACTAAAGGCGAGTACGCAGAAGCTAAAAAACTCTGTTTCGAGTTGCGGCAACTGTTGAGCAAGGGCTCCAACGTGCCCATCACTTATTACCTAGACAAAGAAGTGATTGAGGCGTTAGCCAAGGGCCTGGGCGTGCCCTTGAGTCACTTGGTACCTGTCACGCCCAAAAGTAATGTCTCATCGGAGGAAAATTATGCCGATACAGTCGAAGAAATTCTTGACGATTGAGTCTAAGTGCATGTTTACAGGAGATTCCGGTTTTCAATTCGCGTTATGGCACTTAGTACCTTTTACATATGTGAATTGACACTTAACACCTTTTTACAAATTAGCTCTACAATGTTTAATAAGCAATCAGTTCTGATGGTGTTAAAAGGCACATAAAATTTGTGTGACACACTCAGATCCTTTCACATCCGAATCTTTATATCCTTTGAAATCTGCCCATTACTCATTACCTAGGCAAAGGAGGAAAATTATGCTGATACAGTCGAAGAGATTATTGACGATTGAGTCTAAGTGCATGTTTGCAGGTATTTTTGGTTTTCAGTTCGAATTATGGCACTTAGATCATGTACATCTGTGAATTGGCATTTACGTCTCTTTGAGAATTTGCTCTACAAAGTTTAATTAGCGATCAGTTGGTTTTGTTTGGCAATTCAGGTTTACAGTTCGATATATGGCACTTAGATCCTTTCACATCTGTGAATGGGTCCTTGAATCTTTCAAAAAATTCGCTCCAATATGTTCAATTCGTTGGTTTTGATTGTCGATTTCTGGATTTTTGTTTGAATTATGGCACTTAGATCCTTTATTCACACCTCCGAATTGGCACTTACTTCTGTCCAGAAATTTCCTCGACTATGTATTTGTGATTATTTTCTCATCAACACAGGCACATGATAATCGTCAGGTCCAATGAATTATGTTGTTAGTTTTTCCAATTACCAGAGCCAAAAGGAAGATATTTTATAAGTTCAATTAAATGCCCTATGTGCAATCAAAAATGTTTTTTGAATGAATTAGGTCTGTGAAATATGTAAGTATTTGATGCTTGATCAACAACCACATTATATTGGTGCTATATACTCAGAACCTTTCAAACATTATAATCAAATTGCAATGAATTTATTGTAGAAAAATCAACAATGACTGAAATATAAACGATTATGCCTTATTAGATGATTCTCTAAATTTGTTAATTCATGAAAGTACCTGTACACTTTATTCTTTTATTGTTGAAATGTTGCACAAATAAACTATTCATGACAAAATTTCAATTCTTTCATTTCCTGAATTTCGTACACATCCATTACCTACATGCGTCATGTCATTGGTCACAAGATTTGAATTCCCAAAAACTTATAATCCTCAAAAGTAAAAAAAGGTCACAAGATTTGAATTCCCAAAAACTTATAATCCTCAAAAGTACAAAAAAATAAAAATCCGTTGCCTATCTCCTCTCCCTATGGGCGGAAACCCGTCAGACAGTCTAGATATATAGCCGTCATTGTACAAGCACTGACAGAGTTGGAAAAACTGACCCGTCAAACGAATAGCCTTACTCCAGTGCAATCTCAAGCACCATCGAACAATACCACGAACAGATCAACAAAAGAACAAAGCAGCGTCTGGCGCGGTATTCAAATTTCAATACTTTTCCTCTACTCTTTTGGGAAACAAAATAAATCGGGAATAAAATATGGCTCCAGTCACTTAAAAAGGAATGCAAAAATGAGTGATGTGATAATCGAAAAGGAATTATTTTCTGATTTTTGTGAAATAAAAATGATCGGGTTGTTCTACGCAATCTCCGAACTGGGCGAGTGAGAAACGGCCATCTTGTTTTCGATTGTTTATTGTTTGCGGCTCCCCGCTCCCGTCTCTTTGCCTAAAAAGTTAATAACCGTGATTTTTTTCGTTCCACCCTCAAATAAACCGATTTAAAAAATGTGAAAAGGTGCGAGGAATGTCGTGCGTTATTTTTTAGCCGAAAACCTGTTTCCCTTGCTTTCGAACGTTCGAAAACTAATTGCCAACTCTTTGTAATGGCTACCCTTGCGTCTCCCCCTTTGTAGACAATGACAGTGAAACTTTTCACGTGATAATATTTGAATTTGAAAATTTCCGCTTTGAAAACTTGAATATTTTCGCTTTCACAGATGTTGTTTGATTCGTTTTTCTTGCGAGGAAATGAACAGCGATAACCAAAATGTCCTATCAGCAGGACACAACAGTGCTTCAAATTCTGAGGTGAGTTTCTTTGCCATTGAAAAATCTCTGTTTACAAACATGAACTGCGTCAAAGAACTCATAATTGCATAATTAATAATTGTTTGTGAGAAACAATAGTCAGGCAGACAACATAAAAGAAATTATATATTTATTTTCACTATCCCATCCTTGATTAATATTACCACTTGGGGCTTTTCACTGTTGCTGATTTTTCATTTCATGTTTCTTGTCATTTCTATACAAGTTTCATTAATCATGATTTATGTTTACAGATGAATATATTCCCATTGTTATTAGTCATAATACCTCTTCTATTTTACTCTAAAGTCAATAATTGATTTTGCTTATCTATCTTGCTAAAAATATTGTGTAATTCATTGGTATAATGCCAGACATGAATAAACATGATTCATATAAACTCTGTTCATAATTAAAATGTTTGTATCATGAGAAAGAACATATTTTAGGAAGATTTATGAATTGTCATGAGCCCTTTCACAGGTTTCCCAAAGATCTCCCCAAAGTTCTGCCTTACCTACTGATCTAAGAGTCAATACTACTGCTCTGAATGCAGTGGCACTGAGTAATGTAGCTAAATATTGGGTTCTAACCAATTTGCTGCCAGGACCCATTCCCCAAGTGTCTGTTTACGGCTTGCCTGGAACAAACAGGGATAGTCAAGGAAAGATTAGTCAGGTTAGTATATTTTTGAGTGCTCAAAAACCTTGTTCAACCAGGTGAAATGCAGTGGGAACAAACAAATTGAGCTTGCATCTGATAATGTAGATTTGGATGAAAAATATACAAAGCATATCAATGTTTGGCTGTGTTCAATGAGCAGGAATGTTAGAAGTTTTAATAACATTTTGCCCCAAACTGTTATAAAGATCAAAAATTTTTGGGTGGGTATATACTACATAGATATAAAGTACGTACCTGAAAAGTTACATTTCTTTTTGAAATTGTTTTTTTCAACTTTGAGTTCAGTGAAATTTTTCAACATAACTACAGAATGTGATAAGTAGTAATATTATTTTCATATTCCTAGGAGATTAAGAAATCCACCAACAATGTGAATTCTCAAGATTGAAACCAATTTTACTGAATTTCCCATTGATTTTGCAAATTAAATCAGAAAGGGTTCATTTCAGGTTCATTCCCAATGTATTATCTGATATTATCTGTGAGTTCCATTATTTTTTATTTATTTCCTACCCATTGCCTTCCTTTTCCATTTATTTTCTCAATTTTCTTCAATTTTCTGTTCATTTTCCATTTATTTCCTATCTAGTTTCCTCTTATTCCTCTTTATATTCTTCCTCTGAATATTTCTCAAAATTGGAATCAATTTTCACACATTAAATTTCAAGGGGTTGATTTCCAAACTTTATCTGTCAATTCCTCTGTTTCCATAGTCATCTCCATGTATTTCCATAATTTCTCTTTCCTCTTTGCATTATTTGATTAGTGCCATTCATTCTTGTCCAAGCCTCTAGTTTCACAAATAGACATCAGAATTTTTCAAAACTTTGTGGCCTTTGTATTGGAATTTTACACAGAAAAATACAATCATATTTCCTAAAGCATTATAGTGAAGTCAATTTGACTGGCAGGTATTTAAAACTGAATTTTTCAGTATATATTAAAAAGGGGACACCCTGTATACAAAAATGAGTGGTAGTCTTGGAATAATTTTTTATTCAATGAATGTTTATTTTGAGCCATTTCTAGACGTCTTGATTAATTTGAATCTTGTTTTCCTACATTATGCTACATATGTCAGCTAATTCATCAGATATGCCAATTAAAGTGAATTTAATGAGAGTTTAAATGCAGTAATTACATCATAATTTTCATATTTTTTGTGTTTAATGATGATGACTCTTCAACATTTTTTTCAATTTCTCTCATCTGATAAATCTCTGATATTGAATATCTCGATTTGTCAAACATTCCATGAAATTGCGTCAAAAATATAAACTAATCAACAAAAAGAATGTTCTTATGATACATAAGTAAACTGTATTTCATTTGTTGAGCAGTATATTCAATTTTTTCATTCACACAAAATTCAGTGTAGAGTCTAGATAGGTTAGGTTAATTTGTTATTAAATTGCAACGGAAATGTAAGCTGCTCAACAAAAAATAGGTACCGCCAACAAATAGGGATGATCTACTCTCCTTGTGGAGCATTATATTCAGTTTTCCAGTTAACCAAGATTCATTGCTAGGTATTCATAAGTTGGAATAGTTTGTCAAAAAGTTGCGACGAAAATGTAAGCTGCTCAACAAAAATTTGGTACCAAGGAAAAATTATATACATGCTCTATTTTCCTTGATGAGCAGTATATTCCGTTGTCCAGTTAGTCATTGTTAGTTCTACATAGATCAGGTTAGTATTTCATTATAGTGCGACGAAAATATGAACTGCTCAACAAAAAATAGGTACCCACGACAAATAGGGATGCTTTGTTTTTCTTGTTGAGCAGAATATTCAATTTTTTTATTCACACGAAATTCAGTGTTCAGTCTAGACAGGTTAGGTTAATCTGTTATTAAATTGCGACGGAAATGTAAACTGCTTAACAAAAAATAGGTACTGCCAACAAATAGGGATGATCTACTCTCCTTGTGGAGCAGTATATTCAGTTTTCCAGTTACCCAAGATTCATTGCTGGGTATTCATAAGTTGGAATAGTTTTTCAAAAAGTTGCGACGAAAATGTAAGCTGCTCAACAAAAATTTTGTGCCAACGACAAAATATATACATGTTTCATTTTCCTTGCTGAGCAGTATATTCGGTTTTCCATTTACATAAAATGCAGTGTTAGTTTTAGATATATTTGGTTAGTCTTCCATTATAAAATATAAACTGCTCAACTAAAAATAGGTACTGATGACATAAAATAGGGAATATGTTTTCCTGGTTGAGCAGTATATTTAGTTTTCCATTCACACAAAATTCAGTATCAGGTTTAGATAGATAAGGTTAATCTTTCATTATATTGCTATGAAAATGTAAACTGCTCAACTAAAAATAAGTATTGACGACAAAAAATAGTGAATCTGTTTTCCTGGTTGAGCAGTAGTTCAACATTTACAAAAGATTCATTGCTGGATCTGAAAAGGTTAGGTTAGTTTAGTTAGTGTTCGAAATTATGACGGAAATATAAACGGCTCAACCAAAATTTGGTACCGACGTCAAATAGGGATGCTCTACTCTCCTTGTGGAGCAGTATATTCAGTTTTCCATTTACACCAGATTCATTGCTAGGTCTGCATAAGTTTGACCAAAAAGTTGCGACGAAAATGTGAACTGCTCAACAAAAAATAGGTACCGACGACAAATAGGGATGCTTTGTTTTCCTTGTTGAGCAGTATATTCAGTTTTCCATTTACACAGGATTCAATGCTAGGTCAACATGCTGGCCTATTGCAAACGGATCCTCTGTTGATTCAACAGCAGTCGCAAATTCCCGTCAGCATAGCGACCAGTCAAGGAAACTTGGGCGCCATTTTGGAAAATTCTCACATTTCCGGTCACCAGAGTGGCAACATGTCGTCGCAAAACCAGAACCATATACAGAGGGAAGTGAGGGTGAGGATGAGTTGTATTTTACTTGGTTTTTGAATTATTCACAGTGGAGTTCCTCAAGGTTCAGTTCTTTGGCCATTCTCGTTTCTTGGTTGTGTAAATGATCTGAATAGATATTTGTTACTCTTGTGTGGAGCTGAAAACATTTTCAGGACTTGAGGAATATGTCTTTTCAAACTAAAAAAGATGTCAGAACTCCAAATGCACAAATAATAGTCTGGTTCAATTGACCTGGATAAATATGTGTCACAATAGAAAAGGCCAGTAATTTATGGAAAAAATACATTGATGTTCATCACAATGAGAAAGGGCACAGAGCATTTTTTGAATTCTTATGTCCTAATATTTCAGTTATATGCACATTTAAATTGAACTGTTCACTGTGAAGTTCCTCAAGGCTCTATGCTGGGGCCATTTTTGTATCTAGTCTATGTAAATGATCTGAATACCAACACATGAACATATTTACTGTAGACTACTATGGAAATCTACAAAACTGTTCAGACGTTCAGTATTTCAGTATCCTCTTTGTTCACATAACGGAAATATAAATAAAATATTGCAAATAAGCAACAATTTTCGTGGATTTATGATTGAGGAGGTACTTCTAGATGGCCCATCAACAGCAATCGCAAAACAACCACGGGCAACAACAAAACATGGTCCAGGTCCAAGTCCAAGACAACATGGTGTCTGTCATAGATGGCACCAAGGACCAAAAAGACGTTACTTCCGCCCAAATGCAAGCACAACAACTGCAACTCAATGAAAACCAACTGAACCAACAAGCTTTGACCGTCCAACAACTCCAACAGTTGCAAGTACAACAAGTTTTGGACAATGTAGTGAGTATTTGGACCGTTCAGGATATCATTTCGCTAAAATGGATTGCTAATCGGCTACATTGACTAAGTGTGGAAAACACGCCAAAAAATCGCCATTTATTTAAAAAAATAAAAAATCTGATTTTTTTATTTATACTGATTTTAAGTAGTTCAAATATCGAAAATCGTTATTCATAAAAGATTTCCAGAATTGAAAATTACGTTTAAATATCTGATTACATCTATCTACGATGAAAATCAGTAAAATTCTTTTTTTTGACATACTTATCTCGTACCTCCAGATATTTGCAATCTTGGTTTTAGGCCTTGCAGAACTCTTCAATGAGAAATTACTCTTTTCTTCTAATATTAATAATAAAAATGAAGGTAATTTTAATTTAATCTTGAACAAAATCAATATTTTTTGACATACCTTGTATACGACTGCAAACAATTAATATCCGATATTTGCATTCTCGGTTTTAGGCCTTGCATTAAACTTCGGGAATAACCTGTTTTCCTAAAATTGATAATGAAAAAGTTTTCCATTTGTTGCCAACTTTTTCAGACATTCTGTATAAACCGGTGAAAAAAAAAACAATTTCAGAATAGCAAGTTGCTCGCTGGTGGTCAATTCGATCTGCAGGACGTCAGAGCGAATTTGATGGACGTCCGTACGGCAGATGGCAGCATCGTCAAAATTCAGACCAACATGCAGGAACAAGAAATAGTCAAAACGTTGGGCGTCGATATCGTCAACAACATGTACAAGGTCAACGTCGATGATTTAAATCAGCTGTTGGCCTATCACGAAATATTCGGCAAATTGCAGAGCAACCAAGGTAGACACTTAACGAATATTTACCTTTTAATTTGCAGATTTCTCCATCACGGGTAGATTGAGAAGGCAAGGGGCGTGGCTTTCATATTGTGGGTGTGGCTTGAATGAGGTAGGTGTGTCCAAAGAAAACTAGGAGTGGTAAAGGTTGACTTCTATCACGGATAGGTTGAAATGGCGAAGGATGTGGCTTTTATATTGTAGGCGTGGGTAGAATGAGGTAGGTGTGTCCAATGATGGGTAGGAGGTGCGAAGGATGACTTCTTCCCATCACGGGTAGTTCGTAATGGCGAAGGGCGTGGCTTTCATATAGTAGGCGTGGCTAGAATGAGGTAGGTGTACCCTGTGATGAGTAGGAGTGGCAAAAGTTGACTTATCACGGATAGATTGAGAAGGCGAGAGGTGTGGATTTTACATTGTAGGCGTGGCTAGAATGTGGTAGGTGGGCCAATGATGAATAGGACTGGCACTTTCTATCGCTGATAGGTTGAAAAGGCGAGGGGCGTGAATTTTATTTTGTTAGCGTGGCTAGAATGAGGTGGGTGTGCCCAATGATGAGTAGGAGTGACAAAGGTTGACTCCATTCCATCACGGATAGGTTGAAAAGGCGAGGGGTGTGGATTTTATATTGTTGGCGTGGCTAGAATGAGGTGGGTGTGCCCAATGATGAGTAGGAGTGACAAAGGTTGACTTCATTCCATCACGGATAGGTTGAAAAGGCGAGGGGTGTGGATTTTATATAGTAGGCGTGGCTAGAATGTGGTAGGTGGGCCAATGATGAATAGGACTGGCATTTTCTATCGCTGATAGGTTGAAAAGGCGAGGGGCGTGGATTTTATTTTGTTAGCGTGGCTAGAATGAGGTGGGTGTGCCCAATGATGAGTAGGAGTGACAAAGGTTGACTTCATTCCATCACGGATAGGTTGAAAATGCAAGGGGTGTGGATTTTATATAGTAGGCGTGGCTAGACTGTGGTAGGTGGGCCAATGATGAATAGGAGTGGCATAGGTTGACTTGGCATCATTTTTGAGGCTAGGTAAGTTTATATTTGAACAGGGGCGTGTCATAGGAGATGTGGGTGAGGCCATAGCCAAGTGGGTTTGGTTAAAGCTAGGAGGGTGTGATGAAGCCGTGGAAACAAAATTCCGTTTTGTTCGGATATAATTTCAATCAAACTCCATAATTCCTTTGATCATTCACACTAACAAGATGGTCCACTTCCAAGTAAATGTTAAAGCCAAATTTGGTATTAGTTCGTAGGCGGCGCTAGGGAAACTCACCAAAATCTTCGATATTCTGACTTTGGAATAATTAAAATATTCGAATCCGGCCCTGACGCGACATTCTTGATTCAAATCATCTAAAAATATACTTCGAATAAATTCTGCATTACCGACGTCGTTGTTAGGCTTTTTTTCGGCTTAGTCTTTGTTTAGGCGTAGCCTAGGCTGTTTGTTCGACTATCTGGAGAGCTAGAAAACACTATGAGAAATTAATTTGTACGAGTAGGCCCTGGGAGACTTGCGACAGACGGGGCGTGGCTTGTGATGGGCGGGTCTAAAAATGCACTGCTAACAATGTTTTTCTTGTTCTCCGAAGGAACCGACGTACCTTCGACCAGCCACAACGCTGCCGCCCAACAACCGACCCCCAACAATCTCACCCTACCGAACCCCTCGAACGTAACGATAATAACGAAAGACGAACAGGAACCTTCCACCAGCAACATAGCCAACGAAAACCCAGCCATGATCGGTACGCACTCTTGCGACTTGTGCGGCAAACTGTTCCAATACCGCTACCAGCTGATAGTGCACCGACGTTACCACACCGAACGCAAACCGTTCACGTGTCAGGTGTGCGGCAAAGCTTTCACGAACGCGCAAGAGTTGACGCGCCACGGCAAATGTCACTTGGGCGGCAGCATGTTCACTTGCGCCATCTGTTTTCACGTGTTCGCCAACGATTCGTCGCTGGAGCGGCATATGAAGCGGCATAGTACTGACAAACCGTACGCGTGCACTTTGTGCGGAAAGACATTCGCGCGCAAAGAGCATTTGGACAATCACACGAGGTGCCATACTGGGGAGACTCCTTACAGGTGAGTGATGTTGAAACATGTTTGAAACATATTTGAAACGTCGTTGAAACATGTTTGAAACATCGTTGAAACATCGTTGAAACATCGTTGAAACATCGTTGAAACATGGTTGAAACATTGTTGAAATATTTGCAGGTGTCAGTTTTGTGCGAAGACTTTCACGAGAAAAGAGCACATGGTGAATCACGTGAGGAAGCATACGGGCGAAACGCCGCACCGGTGCGAAATTTGTAAGAAATCCTTCACGAGGAAGGAGCACTTTATGAACCACGTGATGTGGCATACGGGGGAAACTCCTCACCAGTGTACCGTATGCGGCAAAAAGTATACGCGCAAAGAGCATTTGGCTAATCATATGCGTAGCCACACCAACGATACTCCGTTCAGGTGAGTTTCGTTTTTTTTCCTTTTTTTTTCAGGATTTCATCAAGACAATTTATGTGCGCAATATGAGAAATGTCATATTCAAATTGGCACTCAATATGTTTTCAATATTTTTGGAATTCTACTAAAATTGAGCTTATCCACATTCATGCTTCAGACTTCAGTACGATATAGTCACCGAGCCATCTTCAGACGCCCGACAGTGCCAGAAAACGGCGGAAATCCACGCGAGTTATTGCTTTTCTAGTAGAAAATGACACGCTGAATCGAATGAGAAAATGATCAGCCAGATAGGACAGATAGTTTTTGAGATATCGGCGCTCAAAGTCAGCTTTCCGCTTTTATTGCCAATAGGAGCATTCCGGTAGGCTACTACGTCTCCATTTTCTAAAATTTCCTGATTTCCATCACAGATTCGTTCATAACGACATCGATTCAGTCTATGGGAATTTTTTCAGATTTTTAATAAGCCAAATAAAAATTTTCATTTCCCCACCTGAGACTTCAGTACGATATAGTCACCGAGCCATCTTCGGACGGCCGAAAGTGCCTGAAAACGGCAGAAATCTACGCGATTTATCGCTTTTCCAGTAGAAAATGACACGCTGTACGAAATGAGACCATGATCAGCCCGATAGGACAGATAATTTTCGAGATATCGGCGCTCAAAGTCAGCTCTCCGCTTTTATTGTCAATAGGAGCATTCCGGTAGGAGACTACGTCTCCATTTTTCAAAATGTCCCGATTTCCACCACAGATTCGTTCATAACGACATCGAATTAGTCTATGTGAATTTTCTCAGATTTTCAGTAGGCAAATAAAAATTTTCGTTTTCCCACCTGAGACTTCAGTACGGTATAGTCACCGAGCCATCTTCGGACGGCCGAAAGTGCCTGAAAACGGCCGAAATCTTCGCTTTTCCAGTAGAAAATGACACGCTGAATCGAGAAAACTGGAATTTCAACCAATTGAAGAACAATTTTCCAGTTTTGAAATCAAAATCAGGATTCCACAAAATCTGGATTCCACAAAATTTGGTACCATGGTACCCTAATGCAATTCTTTCAGTAAATTTCAAGTGACATGTTCTCCTATCATCAAAACAAAACAAAAATAATCTCACCATGGAGCAGTATACGGGTATCAACGAATTTTTTCAGACAAGCCATGCTTTCCAGAGTTCCGAAGGTAAGGGTGTATGTTTCAAAAGTTGGAAATTATTGCAATACTTCATACCCTTCCATCACTTTCGGTTTCACCGAAAACGACCCCAACTTTCGGTTAGGGATTATCATAACGAATTCAACGATACCGGGTTTGATAGGATCGTTTCATAGGAAGATATTTATATAAATGTAAAGCAAATATCTTTGTAATCGTTTCAAATAGCTCTATCAAACCCGTTATTGTTGCTCCCTAACTAATTATGGAATAAAGTACTGGGTGTCCTATTTGAAAATCAGAAGTTGCGGTCTTTTCCGATGAAACCGGAAGTGATGGGAGAATATGAAATATCGAAAAATGTTGCAGTTACTGAATTCAGCGTCCCTGCCAAGTTTGAATATCATACCTACAGAACTCTGGAAACCATAGCTTGTCTAATGAATACGTTGACACCCGGCATGTACAGGGTGTTACAGAGTTGTAGTGTCAAAAGCCTGGTTGAGATTCTGTTTTGCAAAGATTAAAAATGTTGTCATCATGAACTTTTTCACAACTTTAACGAATCATATTTCTCAAAAATTGCTGTCGTTAGGTGCGAGATATGCGGCAAATCCTTCACAAAAAAAAAGTACTTCACGAACCACTTCATGTGGTATACGGGGAAAACGCCGGGTAGGTGCGATTTCTGTTAGAAAAAGTTCATCAGAGAGGAGCTTGAGATGCTTTACAGGATTGAAAAGGAATATTTCAAATTCAATTATGAACATTAAAAATGGATATAATATCAATTCTTCCTTGGTTTATTCAACAGAAAACAAGTACTTTCCTGGCTATATGCCACGGCGAAAATTGAATTACATCTATCGAACATTCATGATAAGAATTTGAGAACAAAATCTTCTGAGGTAGAGAATTTGCATTTTCCTTCATATACAGATATGCACATAATATCATCCTGAATATTCAACAGAAAACAAGTACTTTCCTTTATAGGTTCTGAATTATTGAGAAAAATATATTGACGTGAATAAAAAATCATTATGTTAAGAAGGGGTCACACTCCAATCCAAAACATAAGGAATAATCTAGTTAAGTTTAACCACTCACTTTCACACAGGGCGTAAAGGAGTTAAGAATAAAAGAGTCATTTTTTCCCTGTACAATGATCAAGCCTCAAGTTTTCTTGGAACTTATATTCAGGCTAACATTTCTAAATATGAATTTGCGATTTGGTCGAAATTCCACCAAAATCGGACAATGAAGCTAAGTTTAACCATTCACTTTCACCATGGGTGATAAGAAATTAAGGAGGGAGGAGTTATTTTACCCCTGGAGACCATGAACCTGATGGCATCATCTCAAAGAGATATAGTAGCTGTGTTTTCGTCTACAATGATCGATCCTTCAGGTTTTCTTGGGAACTTACATTCAGGCTAACATTTCTGAATAAAAATTTGCGATTTGGTCGAAATTCCACCAAAATCGAACAATAAAGCTAAGTTTAACCGTTTATTTTCACCACAGGGCGATAAGATATTAAGTTGGATAGAGTTATTTCACTCCTAGAGACCATTAACCTGATAGCATCATCTTAAAGAGATACAGGGTGATCCACGGTGTATTAGAAGTATCTGGAGAACGAGAAGACAGGACATTCTGAAAATTGGGATGCTTTGATAATTGAACATTCTCTATTCGTCTAAAATATTTTCATCGATACAGTGTTGCCACTTCTATCAGAAACAACTAGCAACTTCGTTATTTTGAATGGAGCACCCTGTATTTTATTGCAGTTTTAGATTCTTCCTGAAGGGCTGATTTCATCAATGCATCACACTTGGGGTCTAGCAGGAATGATTACAGAGATATAGGGTGTACAAAATCAAGATTTTTCAATTTTAGATTTTTTTTGCGTCGAAACTATTCATTATCGATCAAAATGGCTTACATGTCCCTATCTTAACTTCCGATTCACTATCTGATTCAATTGGAACAGATACAGGGTGAATCAGAGTTCTGAATCTTGAAGCACCCTGTATTTTTTCCAATTTAATTCCAGTAGATAGTGAATCAAAAGTTAAGATGGGGACATGTAAGCCGTTTTGATCGATAATGAATAGTGTCGATACAAAAAAATCCTAAAATTGAAAAATCTCGATTTTGAACACCCTATATCTCTGTAATCATTCCTGCTAGACCCAAAGTATGATGCATTGATGAAATCAGCTCTTCCGAAAGAATCTTGAAATCCAATTAAATGCAGGGTGCTCCATTTAAAATAACAAATGTTGCTAGTTGTTTCTGATAGAAGTGGCAACACTATCGATAAAAATATTTTAGACGGATATACAGGGTAACTCACGGTCCATGGTACGTTAGACGTTTACGGAGAACGGGACATAGGATCATTCTGAAATTTCGGTTACTCACGTAGTTGGTCTTGGTCTATCGATCTAAAATATTTTCAGCTCTGCGGCGTTGCCGCTTCTATCGAAAAGTAGCAACAACTTTGTTATTTTAAATGGAACACCCTGTATTTTATTGCATTTTCAGATTCTCTCTGAAGAGCTGATTTCATCAATTTATCACACTTGGGGTCTAGCGGAAATGATTACAGAGATATAGGGTGTGAAAAATTGACATTTTTCAACTTTAGGAATTTTTTTGTCGAAACTTTTGATCAACTATCTACTGACATTCAATTGAAACAAATACAGGGTGGTGCAGAATTCAGAATCTTGATCACCCGGTATATGTCCCGTGGATCACCCTGTATAGTAGCTGTGTTTTCGTCTACAATGATCGATCCTTCAGGTTTATTTGGGAACTGAAATTTTCAGGCTAACATTCCGGAACATGAATCTATGATTTGCTCAAAATTCCACCAAAATTGGACGAGAATTCAAAAAGTTACAGGGCGATCAATTTGGTTGGATTTTTTGTAACCGTTTTTCTCGTCGATGAAAATAAAAAATTAAAATTGAAATGTTTGTCGTTAGGTGCGAGATATGCGGAAAATCCTTCACCAGAAAAGAGCATTTCACGAACCACATCATGTGGCATACGGGTGAAACGCCGCATAGGTGCGACTTTTGTTCGAAAACGTTCACCAGAAAGGAGCACCTGCTCAATCACGTGCGACAGCATACGGGCGAATCGCCGCATCGATGCGGGTTCTGTGCCAAATCCTTTACGAGGAAGGAGCATCTGATCAACCACGTCCGGCAGCATACAGGTAATGTCATAAGTGTCGGCTGTTTGATACGTCCTGTACAGGGTGATTGACTGGATTTCTCGACTTCAACAGCTGATATCTCGAAAACGAAAAAAGATATTTGAAATTTGGAAAAAGTTACTTGAATGAGATGTCATTTCCTTCTGGAAAATGTGTTCTCTGCTTGATTTCATCATTTCATATACAGGGTGTGTGAAAAAAATGTTTTTCATCAAATAGAACTCCCTGTATATTATCGCATATTTCGAGCAAGATTTTTATTAACTGAAAAATAGCACTCCAAAATATCTCTTCTTTGTTCCAGTGGATATGGCATCGTGAAAAAATTGTCGAAATTTTGCGCACTTATGTCACTGAAATGTTGACCAAATGTCAATTCACTTATTCATCATCTCATTCTATTTCAACCATAGCCAACTTGGATCAAATATTAATATTTAATTTTGCTGATATTTCGTCTAGCCCTCTATAGAATATATGAAAAGTATATATCTTCGAAATCAGGAAAGATCTTCCGAAATATGCGATAATATACAGGGGGTTCAATTTGAAAAAAAAATGTTTTTTTCACGAACCCTGTATATGAAATGATAAAATCAAGCAGAGAACACATTTTCTAGAAGGAAATGACATCTCATTCAAGTACCTTTTTCCAAATTTCAAATATCTTTTTTCGTTTTCGAGATATCAGCTGTTGAAGTCGAGAAATCAATAGTCAATCACCCTGTACAACGTATCCTCTTGAATTTTTTTACAGATAAATTTTTTTTTGCTCTTCACATGTTTACCTTTGACACTAAGATTTGAGCGACTGAGTACTTAGTGAAGGAAATTGGTTGGTTTGCCAGCGTAATAAATGAATTGTTTTCTTTAGCGGGAGAAAAGTTTAACATGTCATTTCTGTTGACAGGTTGTAAAATGTGACTTTATAAAGTACTCGCAGATATTCGAAAAGATGACTTCAATGACTATTTTTTGGGAGGTTGAAAAATAATATTTGATCTCAAAGTGGTCAAAAAACAAAGACAAATAATATTTGAAATTTCTTTGACGTACCAAAATCGCGACTTCAGGAACGTACTCATAATTTTTTAAGGGGACAAATATTGAACTTTTTTTTTATCGTATCTGTTGCTTCCTCAAAGGGTCCAAAAGAAAAAATGTACTACCGAAATTGCTTTGAGATTTTCCGATAGAACATTAAAATTGCGGCTTCAGGGACGTTCTTACTCATTTTTTCCTAAGGGATTCAAAAATTAAAAGGAAATTGGAAATTTCTTCGCCACCTCGAGAAAAACAAAAGTTGCAGCTCCGAGGGCATGACTAATTTTATTTATAAGCGGGTCCGAGAGAAAAATGTTTGATTTTGTTTCAGAAGAAATTGGAAAGTGCGAATTCAGGGGCGTACACAATTTTTTTCTGAGAAAAATAGAAATGACAGAGCACAAATTGCAACTTCTCCGGCGTATCTTATTTTCTGAAGGATTCCAGAAGGAACATGTTGAAATTTCTGAATAATTTTGGTGTTTCCAATTTTTTGCCAAGGGGATGGAAATAATAACAAAAAAAATCATATGCAGGATATCTTCTAAAACAATCCGAGAAAACTCTTTTCATTCAGTCCATATGAATAATTTTCGAGATTTCTACGAATGAATGAGAATTGCGACTTCAGTGGCGTACCCAAGTTTAATCTAGGGGGTGGGAGGGGGGTAAATCTAAAATAAAAATATATTTGAATTCCATAATTTCTACGACAAAGGCAGAAAACGAAAGTTGCAACTCCAGGGGCGTGCCAAATTTTTTTTCTGAGGGGATCCAAAAGGAAAATGTCGAAATTTCTTCAAGATTTTTCAAAATTTTTTGGGATTTTCTCCTCGTTCCTATGAAATGACAATATGAGTATTATTTCAAAGAAAGATGGAAATCACAAATCAGGGGCGTACTCGATTTTTGTCCCGGCGTGCCAAAATCTAAATTTCGATAATTTTACGAATATTTTCTGTCCGAAGGAAGGACCACCTGGTAAATCTCGTGTGCTAACATACCGGGGAATCACCGCAAAAGTGCACTTATTGCACAAAATCCTTCACGGCCAACAAAGAAAAAAATTAATTCAAGGGTGTACCTATTTTTTTTCTGATTTGGTCTAAAGAAAAAGTTGATTTTTTCAAATTGTTTCCGAGATCTTTCAGCATTGATTGAACATTGCGAAAATCTGTTTGAATTCCGTTATTTCCACCACAGAAAACGAAAGTTACAACTCCAGGGGCGTACCTGATTTTTTTCTGAGGAGTCAAAAAAAATTTTTCGGTTTTTCGAAATTCTTTCAGGATCTTCCAATAAAAATTGCGACTCCAGGGGTGTACCAAATTTTTTTCTCGAGGGACTCTGAACGAAATTTCGAGAAATCAACGATAAATTTCCGAGTTTAGGAAGAATACCTTTCCAATGTGATTTCTGCCTAAAAGCGTTCACCAGGAAGGACCACCTGGTGAATCACGTACGCCAACATATCGGTGAATCACCGCACAAGTGCACTTACTGCACGAAATCCTCTAATCGCAAAGAAAAAAAAAATCAATTCAAGGGCGTACATATTTTTTCTGATTCGGTCTGAAAAAAAAATTAAATTCCAAAATTTTTCGAGATCTTTTAGCATAAATTGATTGCGGCTCCAGGGGTGTACCCATTTTTCTTCTGAAGGAACGGAATCAAAAATAAAAATATGTTCGAATTCCAGGATTTCCACCACAGAAAACGAAAGTTGCAACTCCAGAGGCGTGCCTGATTTTTTTCTGAGGGGGTCAAAAAGAAAATTGTCGGATTTTCGAATTTTTTTCAGGATCTTCCAATAAAAATTAAATAACGCGACTCCAGGGGTGTACCAACTTTTTTTTCTGAAGGAACGGGATCAAAAATCAAAAAATCTGTTAGAATTCCGAATTTCCACCACAGAAAATGAAAGTTGCAACTCCAGGGGCGTACTTATTTTTTTTTCTGGGGGGTTCAAAAAGGAAAATGTTGGATTTTCGAAATTCTTTTAAAATCTTTCAATATAAATTAAACATCACGACTCCACGGATGTACCCAATTCTTTTCCTGAGGGACCAATCGAAATTTCGAGAAATCAACGATAAATTTCCGATTTTAGGAGAAACGCCTTTCCGATGCGATTTCTGTCCGAAAGCGTTCACCAGGAAAGACCACCTGGTGAATCACGTGCGCCAACATACCGGAGAATCACCGCACAAGTGCACTTATTGCACGAAATCCTTCACGCGCAAAGAACACCTCAACAATCACGTGCGACAACATACGGGAGAGTCGCCGCATCGCTGCCATTTTTGTACGAAAACGTTCACGAGGAAGGAGCATCTGACCAATCACGTCAGGATTCATACAGGTAAACATTCTTATACAGAGGTAAACATTCTTGGTCATTTTGAAACTTGAATTTTCTTGAAAAGTGTTTCTATACATTTCTTTGCAGTGTATTATTTTGATTATGAGAATGTTGGATGATTTAATGAAACTTATTTGGTAATCAGTAGTTAACAATTTTTCCACTATGAAATAATGAAGCTCAAGCAGAATACTCTCGTTTTCCCTCACTAGTTCTGTAATACCTTACTTTCCGCACTAGTGCTGTAATACGTTACTTTTTGCACTAGTGCTGTAAAACTTTACTTTTCCAGGCGATTCTCGCCCAGGTGCGAATTCTGTCAGAAAACTTTCACGCCTCCACTTGTGCACCTTGTAATCTGAACCGTTTACTTTTACTCAGTGGGAACAGGTTCTCACTTTTTCTCAAGATGAAAGTTGTTACATTTCATTCCTGATTAATCAAAATATGCCACCTATCAATTGAATCAACATTTTTTTTATGTTTTACAAATCACTCGGTAATGAGTAGTTTACATAATTCTGAAGCAGGATAGCACAAGTGCTGTAATACGTTACATTCTGCACTAGTGCTGTAATACATTATTTTGTGTAAAAGTGTAATTATTAAACTAAAGTTCCAGGGGAATCGCCGCACAGGTGCGAATTCTGCCAGAAACCACATTGGATAAAATGTTATCACTCAGTGGGAACACGTTCTCACTTTTTCTTAAGATGAAAATTGATACATTTCATTTCTGATCACTCAAATGTTCTTTGCCAATAATTAGTGTTTAAGATTGGTTTGAGATTATCTTGCGTCATTAATATTTTCCAACTCATTCGGTTATGAGTGGTTTACAATTTCATCATTATGATGAAATAATGAAGCTGAAGCAGAATAATCTCATTTTCTCACACTAGTGCCTTGAAACGTCACATCGCACTAGTGCCTTAAAATTTTACTTTCAGCACTAGGGCCTTGCAACGTTACTTTCCGCACTTGTGCTGTAATGTTACTAATTCCTACTGTAATACGTAGTTTTCCGCACGAGTGCTCTAATACGTTACTTTCCGCACTAGTGCTGTAATATCTTATTTTTCGCACAAGTGCTGTAATAAGTTATTTTCCGCACTAGTGATATAAAACGTTATTTTTCGCTCAAGTGCTGTAACACGTTACTTTTCCAGGCGAATCGCCGCACCGATGCGAATTTTGCCAGAAACCACATTGGATAAAATGTTATCACTCAGTGGGAACACGTTCTCACTTTTTCTCAAGATGAAAGTTGATACATTTCATTTCTGATCACTCAAATGTTCCTTGCCAATAATTAGTGTTTAAGATTGGTTTGAGATTAACTTGCGTCATCAATATTTTCCAACTCATTCGGTTATGAGTAGTTTACAATTTCATCATTATGATGAAATAATGAAGCTGAAGCAGAATAATCTCATTTTCTCACACTAGTGCCTTAAAACGTTACTTTCAGCACTTCTACCTCAAAACGTTACTTTCTGCACTTGGGCCTTGCAACGTTACTTTCCGCACTAGGTCCTCAAAATGTTGCTGGGTAATACGTTACCTTCCGCACTAGTGCTGTAATGTTACTAACTACTGCTGTAATACGTAGTTTTCCGCACTAGTGCTGTAATACGTAGTTTCCGCACCAGTGCTGAAATACGTAGCTTTCCGCACTAGTGCCTTAAAACGTTACTTTCTGCATTAGGGCCTTGCAACGTTACTTTCCGCACTAGTTCTGCAAAATACTGCTGTGTAATACGTTACCATCCGCACTAGTGCTGTAATTTCAATTACTACTGTAATACGTCGTTTTCGGCACAAGCGCCGTGATACGTTACTTTCCGCACTAGTGATGTAAAACGTTATTTTTCGCCCTAGAGCTGTAACACGTTACTCTTCCAGGCGAATCGCCGCACCGATGCGAATTCTGCCAGAAAACCTTCACCAGAAAGGAGCACCTCACCAATCACCTGCGCCAACACACCGGCGAAACTCCCCACCTGTGCACCTTGTGCTCCAAACCGTTCACACGCAAAGAGCACCTCGTCAACCATATGCGTTCGCACACCGGCGAACGGCCCTTCTCCTGCGCCGAGTGCGGCAAATCGTTTCCGCTCAAGGGCAACCTGCTGTTCCACCAGCGGTCGCACAACAAGGGCGCCGCCGCCGAACGGCCCTTTCGGTGCGATTTGTGCGAGAAGGATTTCATGTGCAAGGGCCATCTGGTGTCGCATAGGAGGGCGCATATGGGCGATCGGCCGCACGTTTGTCCCGATTGCGGTAAGATTTTTCATTCATTTTCAATCGCATTTTTTCGCACTGGTGGAAAAAAAGTCGGGTGTCTTTTTTTTCAGATCCACGGTATAAATGTTTTATTTTGCGCGCTAGAGAGGTAACTAGGGGTTTTCTGCCTACTAGTGCATTAAGGCGTCATTTAGGTATCTTGCTAGTGCAGAAAACAGTCATTGTCTTTCTAGTGCAGAAAACAGACATTTTTTCACTATGTGCAGAAAATAATTTCTGGCAGTGACAAATTATATTTCCACTTGTTGTGATAAACATACTTTTCATTCACCACTGATTGAAGTATGTAAATATAAATAGTCGAAAAAAAAACACAATGAAAGTGACCATATTTTTCCATTTGTGATAAAAGTTAGTACAGAAGAAACTCACACAAGTATATACCGGGTGGTCCATTCAAGACTATCCACCCTCGATATCTCCCAGAATAATTATTCAACAAAGAAATGACGAAACAGGTCGATTTTTATTTGGAGGGGGACACATTTTGAGGCAAAATAAATGATCCATACTTCAACCCTCTACTCTCCAGAGCAACCCCCTCAATAATTTGAATAGGGAATAAGGGTCGTGTTATAAATCATTGGAAAGGTAATTTAATTCGGAAACTAGCAGTGCAAAGTTTTTTGAATTCCAACAACTCGTTCTCGAGATATTCGAGTTCGAATGGTATGTTTTTTAATTGTGAGTAAATGTATGTACAAAATAGATATTATTGAACAGGTATTCACAATAAGTGTTCAAAATGACCTCCATTGACTCCCAGACAGTGGTAGAGTCTATTTGAAAATTCCTCTTGTACATTTGAGAATGTTTCTCTAGATATTGCCAGGCATTCAGTTCTTATTCTTTTCTGCAAATCATCGAGGTCAGTAGGTTCCCTTTTAAAAATAACAGATTTTAAATGACCCCATAGGAAAAAATCATTGGTTGTCAAGTCCGGTGAGCGTGCTGGCCATTCTATTGGTCCTCTACGACCAATCCATTTGTCTGGAAAATTCTGGGATAGCCATTCTCTCACCTGCAATATGTAATGAGGTGGAGCACCATCCTGTTGAAAACAAATATTTTCTGCTAATAGATTTGGATTACCATCATCATCGAGGTCAGTGTTGACAGCATCCATAATAAGTGGTTCGATTAGATTCTGAAGCATATCCAAGTTGGCCATACCATTCAAATCACCCTGGATAAATATTGGTCCAATAATTGTATTACCCAAAATTCCTGCCCACACATTCAACTTCTGGGGCCATTGTGTGTGCTCTTCTCTCAGTAGATGAAGGTTATTCTGACTCCAATAACGACAGTTGTGTCTGTTTACTAAACCGTTCAAATGAAATGAACACTCGTCACTATAAAGCAAATATGCTTAATAAATTCGTGGTTCCTCTGTATCATTGTCGTGATATTTTCGCAAAATTCAGATCGTCTATCATAGTCATCCTCATTTAATGCTTGGCGAAGATTCAACTCATAAGGATGAAATTTGTGCGTTATTTATGAAACGGAATCTACTGATCTGGACGATAAGAAAAATGAATTAGGGTTGAATGCCTGACAATAACTAGAGGAATATTTCAAATTTGCGAAAGGAATTTACAAATAGATTCTTCCACTGTCTGGAAGTCAATGTAGGTGATTTTGAACATTTGTTGTAGATGACTATATTCATTAATTCATTCCGTATGTACATTCAATTACTCACAATTAAAAAACATACCATTCGAACTCGAATATCTCGAGAACGAGTTGTTGGAATTCAAAAAACTTTGCACTGCTAGTTTCCGAATTAAATCACCTTTCCAATGATGTATAACACGACCCCTATTCCCTATTCAAATTATTGAGGGGGTTGCTCTGGAGAGTAGAGGGTTGAAGTATGGATCATTTATTTTGCCTCAAAATGTGTCCCCCTCCAAATAAAAATCGACCTGTTTCGTCATTTTTTTGTTGAATAATTATTCTGGGAGATATCGAGGGTGGATAGTCTTGAATGGACCACCCGGTATATATATGTTATTATTTTGCGCGCCAGAGAGGTAACTATGGGTATTTTGTCATTAAGGCGTCATTTAGGTATCATGCCAGTTCAGAAAACAGTCATTGTCTCACTAGTGCAGAAAACAGTATTTTTCTCACTAGGGTAGAAAACAGTATTTTTCTCACTAGGGTAGAAAACAGTCATTTAGTCACTAGTGGAGAAAACAGTCATTTTCTCTCTAGTGCAGAAGATAATTTCTGGCAGTGACATATTGTATTCCCACTTGTGATAAACATATTTTTCATTCACCACTGGTTGAAGTATGTAAATATAAATAGTCGAAAAAAAATCACAATGAAAATGACCATATTTTTCCACTTGTGATTGATGATATTATATTGTTGGTTGTTTTATTAGTGCAGAAATTAGTTACATTTCCATTTTCACAGAATTTTTCCAGTGAATTTTGCAATAAAGTGAAAAATGAATTTGGTACTTGAACAACTTGGGCTGGAAAAATCCACTTTTCACGTTTGTGAGAAAAGTAACATCATGGATGAATTTTTCTCACTCAAGTGCAGTAAATAATTGTTTCTCCAATTGGGAAACGGTTACATCTTACAATAGCAAGAAACTATGTTGTTAATTTTCCGATTTCCTATCATTGCAAGAAACAATATATTCCACAACAGTGGAAAAATAGTGGGTTCTTTTTCAACCCATGTTGAAAATAACAAATCCGTTGCTGATTTCTTCACTAGCACTGTTTAGTGGCATTTTACCCACTGATAAGCACAATATACAATAGTTTTAGGAAAAAAGTCGCACAAAAGTTATTTATTCCCATGAATGAGTATTTTATCCACTTGTGGGGATTGTTTTTAACTTTTCTCTTTTATTTCATTGCAGAAAACGGCAACATTGGACACTACTCCATATTCTGTTTTGCTCATTAGTGCAGAAAATGTGTTTTTAAAGTGCATAAAATGCCTTCTCTCAGGAATGAGATAAAATGCATTTTTCTCACAAGTGCTATAAAATGCCTTTTCCTCACAAATGTGATATAATACTTTTTTCTCACATGTGCGAAAAATCGCACAAAAGTTAATTATTCTCAATTATGAAGCATTGAAAATACATGAATGGTTATATTATCCACTTGCGGGGATTGTTTTTATGTTTTCTCTTCAATTTCATTGCAGAAAACGGCAACATTGGACACAACTTCATATTCTGTCTTGCTCATTATTTGAAAAAAGTTGATTTTCCACTGGTACCTTCAAAATTGTTTTTTTCAGGTGCGATAAAATGCCTCCTCTCAGGAATTGAGATAAAATGCATTTTTTCCATAAGTGCTATAAAATGCCTTTTTCTCACAAATGTAATAAAATACCTTTTTCTCACTTGTGCAAAAAATCGCACAGAAGTTATAAAAAATCGCACAATAGTTATTTATGCAACAAGTGCAAAAAGTGCAATAAACAATTTTTGCACGAACAACATTTTTTCTATGTTCATGCAAAAAGCAAAAAATGATTCATTGAGGTGCGGCATTAGGTGTAGGAAAATGAAAAACGCAACTTAATTTTTGACTGACGTTTCTATAACCACAGTTGCAATATAAAAAATGTTTGTCATGATGACAGCACGTTGAAGTAGAATGACAGATGAGTGCAATAAAAACTTTATTGCACTAAGTGCAATAAAGAACTTCTTTTTCCACTAAATATAGTTCAATAAAGTTCTGCTTTTTGCATGAATGTAGAAAAAAGTTATTTATTCTCAATCATGTAGCATTGAGAATACATGAATGGTTATTTTATTGACTTGTGGGGATTGCTTTTATCATTTCTTTTTAATTTCTTAGCAGAAAACGCCAACATTGGACACTACTCCATATTCTGTCTTGCTCATAAGTGCAGAATATAGTTGATTTTCTACTGGTACCTTCAAAATAATTTTTTTTTGAAGTGCGATAAAATGCCTTCTCACGATTGCAATAAAATGCCTTCTCTCACGAATGCAATAATATGCATTTTTCTCACTAGTGATATAAAATACATTTTTCTCAAGTGCTTTAAAATGCATTTTTCTCACAAGTGCTATAAAATGCCTTTTTATCACAAATACAAAGAAATTCATAATTTTTCTGCCAGTGCGGAAAGAAGTGAACTACTATTTCTCCGCTGAAAAAAAAAGAAGGTGGATGATTGATGACCGTATTCCGATTGTATAGGTAAAACGTTCGTCGACAAAGGCAACATGCTTCGCCACATGAAGAAGCACACCGCCGACCAGGTAGGTCCCAACAACAACAACCCACAGCAACAACAACAACAACAACCACCGAACAACCAAACGAACAACGCTAATAACATTCAAATACCGCAAGTGCAAGTTAATAATTCGGTAGTAAGTTCGGTACAACAACAACAACAAAACAACGCTGGTGGTAATAACGGTGGTAATGGTAATATAGGTCAATCTGGACATTTACAGATGCACCAACCGGTGGTAGTTAGTGCCGGGGGTGGGGGTAATGCCAACGTTTTGACTTCATATTGAAGGTCATATTGACCCGAGGAAAAAGGGGAGAGGGGGGTAAACGCGTGTTCTTGAAAGTTGAAAAAGGTCTGGTTTGTAGGAAGCAGCGAGATGATTTTTTAAAACTAATCGCTACATATTAAATTTTTCTTTGGTATAGGCGAAATTCAGCACTAGTCTCAATATACAGAGGAGTGCACAGAAAACGGCCAGGGCTGTCACTTCTGAATCATTCCAGATTGGATTTTGAAACTTGTTTGTTCGATCACTTCCGGTTTCACCGGAAACGACCCCAACTTTTGATTTTTGAATGGGACACCCACCGAATGTAGAAATTAGATTTGGAATGATTCATTCAGAAGTTACAGTACTGGCCGTTTCTTGCGCAGTTCTCTGTATATCTCGAAATCAGCGCTAATTTTGCCTCATATATTACCAGTAATTTCGACTCATGTCTCGATATACAGTGTGTCCCACTTACCATGCTCACCATGGGTATCTTTTTAACGGTGAGAGATACGAGGTCGGTTAAATGACACCAAATGTGGAGTTTGTCGAGGCCAACTATAATGTGAAAAAATATTTCGATAAAATCTATTCGTTTTTGTTTTATACGCAAAAAACAGATTTTGATCATTTTCTTGTCTCCTCCGTAACTTCTTTATTTATGAAAATATTCAAATGGGAATCTCACATTCTTGTGGCAGTTTTTCAAAGTGATTTCGAAAAAAATATGAAATTTATACCAACTCTTCTAGAATTTGAGATATCAGCACCAACTTTAGTTTTTCAAATGTAGGTCATAGCTCACTATGACTTAGTTACAAATAACTTTTTTTTCTCTTACAGATGATATGTCGCAGTAATAGTTTTGTGTTGATGACAACGGAGTTATCGTCATTTATACAAAAACAAAAAATTATTTGGAAGCCGCCATCTTGAATTTATGAATTTTAACAAAAAAATCATGATCTCCGACCTCAAAAACCCCCACTTACCAATTTTGAATGGAATCGAACCAATTCTTGTCCGCCATCTTGGAGCAGCCATTTTTTTTAATTTCAACAAAAATTCCATAATGTATTGTCACCGAAATTATGAACACCTGCCAAATGTTGAGTTAATCGGAGTTATGGAATTTTTGTTGAAATTAAAAAAATGGCTGCTCCAAGATGGCGGACAAGATTTGGTCCGATTCCGTTCAAAATTGGTAAGTGGGGGTTTTTGAGGTCAGAGATCATAATTCTTTTGTTGAAATTCATAAATTCAAGATGGCGGCTTCCGAATAATTTTTTGTTTTGTATAAATGACGATAACTCCGTTGTATATTTTTTTCGAAATCACTTTGAAAAACTGCCATGAGAATGTGAAATTCCTATTTGAATATTTTCATAAATAAAGAAGTTACGGGGGAGACATGAAAATGATCAAAATCTGTTTTTGCGTATAAAACAAAAACGAACAGATTTTATCAAAATATTTTTTCACAATATAGTTGGCCTTGACAAACTCCACATTTGGTGTCATTTAACCGACCTCGTATCTCTCACCGTTCAAAAGATACCCATGGTGAGCATGGTAAGTGGGACACCCTGTATATTACCAGTAATTTCGACTCATGTCTGGATAAGCGGTAATTTCGACTGATATCTCAAAATTAGTTCGACTTGATCGGTTTTCAAGCGATATCGTTCATATCTCGAAATTTGCGGCGATTTTGCTTTTTTCTCGTAAAATAGTTCATCTCAAAATAGGCGTTAATTTCGACGAAATAAGTGGTAATTTTGGAATTGATGAACATTTCAACATATCTCGGTGTTTATTTTGCTATGTTGTTTATACTCCGAAATTTTTCTTCATTTTGCCTTTTATCTCAAGATTAGTAGTAATTTTGAGTATTTTTGAATGATTTTGCCATTTTAAATCGAAATAGGCATTAATTTCGACTTATACTTCTATAAAAACGGTAATATCGACTGATATCTCAAACTTAGTAGTAATTCTGACTTGAATTTCAAAATTGTTGGCTATTCAAACATACCCTGGAGTCACCATGTGTTTTTCAGCAATATCATTTATATCACGAAACTTTCGGTGATTGTGCCTTTTATCTCAAGATAAGTGGTAATTTTGATGAATTTCGTCATTTTATCTCGAAATGGGCGTTAATTTCGATTTATATCTCGATATTAGCGGTAATTTTGACTGATATCTTGGAATTCGAGGTAATTCCGAATTGAATTTTGAAATTTATTGGTCATCCAAACATACCCCGGAGTCACAGTTTTTTTTAGCAATATCGTTTATTACTCGAAATTTGCGGTGATTCCGCTGTGTGTCTCGGAAAAGTGGTAATTTTGTGTATTTTTGAATGATTTTGCCATTTTAAATCGAAATAGGCGTTAATTTCGACTAATTCTTCTATATAAACGGTAATATCGACTGATATCTCAAAATAAGTAGAAGTGGTAATTTGAGAATAATTTCGCCATTTTATCTCGAAATAGACGTTGATTTCGACTGATATCTCGAAATTCGCGGTAATTCGACCTAAATTTCGAAATTATTGGCCATTCAAAAATATCTTGGAGTCACCGTCTCTTCAGCAATATCGATTGTATCCCGAAATTTGCGGTGATTTTGCCTCTTATCTCAACATAAGTGGTAAATTTGAGTATTTTTGAATTATTTCGCCATTTTATCTCGTGAAAGGCGTTGATTTCGACTTATATCTCGATATAAGCGGTAATATCGGCTGATATTCCGAAATTAGTGGTAATTCTGATTTGAACTTCAAAATTATTGGCCATTCAAACATACCCCGGAGTAAGCGTTTGTTTTTCAGCAATATCTTTTATATCTCGAAAATTGCGGTGATTTTACCTCTTATCTCAAGATAAGTGGTAAATTTGAGAATTTTTGAATAATTCCGCCATTTTATCCCGTAAAAGGCGTTAATTTTGAATTATATCTCGAGATAAACGGTAATATCGGCTGATATTTCAAAATTAGTGGTAATTCTGATTTGAATTTCAAAATTATTGGCCATTCAAACATACACCGGAGTAACCGTTTGTTTTTCAGCAATATCTTTCATATCTAGAAACTTTCGGTGATTGTGCCTTTTATCTCAAGATAAGTGGTAATTTTGAGTATTTTTGAAAAGTTTCGCCATTTTATCTCGAAATGGCGTTAATTTCGACTTATATCTCGAAATTCGCGGTAATTCCGATTTGAATTTCGAAATTATTGGCCATTTTAACATGTCTTTGAGTCACCATCTCTTCAGCAGTATCGTTTGTATCTCGAAATTTACGGTGATTTCGCCTCGAATCTCAAGATAAGTGATAAATTTGAGTATTTTTCAATAATTTCGCCATTTTATCTCGTAAAAGGCGTTAATTTCGACTTATATCTCGAGATAAACGGTAATATCGGCTGATATTTCAAAATGAGTGGTATTTTTTAATTGAATTTCAAAATTATTGGCCATTCAAACATACACCGGAGTGTTGGAAATATGTAGAGCAATTGCAGTTTGAATAATTGCGTGAAAAATTGTTTTCGATGATTTATTGTGGACTGTATGATTGATTATAAAAATTGATTGACAAAATCAACAACAACTCTGTTTTTTTGTAACTACAGCAATGTTTCCATCTTGACATTGTCTCTATAGGTGACAAATTATTCAATGTTGTCACACTTTCTCGGGGATTCAGGGAGAATGACATAACTTATGAACATAGCCCCCCTTTTGAAGGATACTTCAAAATATTTTCTGAAGTTCTGAACACAACACCAACTAGTTTTCGGTTTCTTCTTCTAAGGGAAGTGGACAGAGATGCCGAATTGATCGCTTCACAACACCCTTGCAAGTAGTTACTGAAGCCACTCTGGAAATACCATCAACGCCCGGAAAAAGCTCATGAATTCGTCCTAATATCCATTTATGTGGAGGTACATTGTCAGCTTTCAGCATAACCAGCATTCCTGGTCTCAATGGAGTTGGTCCAGTTTTCCATTTGTAAGATTGGTGCAACTGGCCGATATATTCTTTGGAAAATCGTTTCCAAAAGTTTTGTTGCAGCTTCTGAATATATTCGTATCTTGAAAGGCGGTTGTCTGCGATAGTTTGTAAGTCTGGGGTAGGAATGGAAGTGATGGGACGACCAATTAGGAAATGGGAAGGTGTTAATGGTTCTAGGTCATTTGGATCATTGGACATTGCGAATAGAGGTCTGGAATTTAAAATGCCTTCTATTTGATTTATCAACGTAAGAAATTCTTCATAGGTAAGGATTGTCGTTTTCATAGTTCTTTTAAGGTGATGCTTCATGCTTTTGACAGCAGCTTCCCATAGTCCACCAAAGTTTGGACTATATGGTGGGGAAAAATGCCATGAAATATTGAATTCTTTAGCAAAATTTGTTGTTTCAGATTGATGGCTGTGCAAGAATTCTCCAAGTCTTTTAAGTTCATTATGAGTACTTCGAAAAGTAGATCCATTGTCAGAATAAATATGAAACGGAATGCCCCGTCTTGATATGAATCGTTTCAAACAAGAAATGAAACATTCACTAGTCATGTCAGTGATTAATTCTAAATGGATCGCCTTGGACAAAAACCAAACAAATACACAAACATAACATTTTGTGACTTTTGAACCTCGCCCTTTCCTATCTTTCATAGAAAATGGACCCGCATAATCAAGTCCTGTAATTTGAAAAGGTAAATTTGATACAAATCGATGATCTGGTAAAGGTCCCATTGGAGCAATAGCAGGCTCTGGTTTGAATTTGAAACAAGTGATACATTTTTTTGTGATTTGTTTTGCAAGATTTCTACCACCAATCACCCAATATTGTTGTCGAATAGTTGCAAGAAGTAATTGAGGACCAGGATGTAAAAGATTAGCATGTTTTTCTCTGAAAATTAAATTTGTCAAATTATGTTTTGCATGCAACAATATAGGGTGTTTGATATTCGTAGGAAATGAAGAATACTTGAGACGTCCTCCT